TTCAATGATTCTTCAGCTCACTCAAAGTAAAGCTGAAGTCCTTACAGTTGCTTTTAAAAGGTATTTCATGTTGTAGCCTCCGGTTACTTCCAACCTCATCTCCTACTCCCCTGCACCCCAGTTCTGGCCACACTGACCTCTCTCATGTTTCTCAAAAAGCATAGGAATGTTTCTGCCTTAAGGCCTTGGGGGAACACTTCCCTGTCCTCCTGCCAGAATCACCCTTCCTTCAAATACAACTCTCATGGTGCTCTCCCTCATCTCCATCAAGTCTTTGCTCCAACCTCACCCGCTCAGTGAGGCGTTTCCTAAACTACTTTATTTAAAATTGATACCCATTCCCTTCCATACACTTTATGCCTCTAATTTTGGCTTATTTTTCTTCTAGCACTTATCACTTTCTAATGTACTAGATCATTTACTTTTTAATTTTGTTTTCTGTCTCCCTCACGATAGAATGACACTCCATGAAGACAACAGTTTTTATAAATTTTGTTCACAGCTATATCCCCAGTGTCTAGAATAGAGGCTAATAGATAGTAGGCACTTAATAAATATTTATTGCTAACTTGTTTGTCTGCCCCCCACATTCAGTTCAATTTAAAGTTTTCTGCCTAATGCTTACTTTTCCTAGGAACATGGAACATTACCAAGAATTTTATTTCTGAAGTATTTTCTTGAGGTTGAAACAAAAATTAACATATGTACTATTGATTGGACAGGTGTTCAGTCACTCATCCACCAGATCTATAACAGAGTCAGTAGGTGAGGCCTAGTGCAGACTGTGCACATTATGTTAAGGAGGTTGGATGTTGTCCTGTGAGCAGTGAGGGCTGAGTGAAGGGTTTTAAGCAAGAACTGGTATGATCAGACATACATTTTGGCCGCATACTCTGGTGGCTCTGCAGAGGATGGTGTCATGGATTGAATTATGTCCCCCCAAAAGTGTGTGTATCAGTTTGGCTGGACCATGATTCCCAGTGTTGAGTGATTTTCCTATATGTTGTAAATCCCACCTCTGTGATGTTAATGAGGGAGGATGGGCGGCAGTTGTGTTAGTGAGGCAGGACTCACTCTACAAGACTGGATTGTGTCTTGAGGCAATCTCTTGAGATACAAAAGAGAGAAGTAAGCAGAGAGACAGGGGGACCTCATACCACCAAGAAAGCAGTGCCAGGAGCAGAGCGCATCCTTTGGACCTGGGGTGCCTGCACAGAGAAGCTCCTGTTCCAGGGGAAGATTGATGAGAAGGCTGACAGAGAGAGAAAGTCTTCCCCTGGAGCTGACACCCTGAATTTGGACTTTTTGCCTACTTTACTGTGAAGAAATAAATTTCTCTTTGTTAAAGCCATCCACTTGTGGTATTTCTGTTATAGCAGCACTAGATGATTAAGACAAATGGCTTCAAGGAGAACAAGACTGAACACAGGGAGACCATGTGGGAAGATATTTTAATAGTCCAGCAAGAGATGATGAGAGCCTGAACTGGGGTCATGATAAGGGAGAATATGAAGAAAGCATGGATTTTGAAAATATTCAGGAAATAAAAATGGACAAATCTTGATGTTTACTTGCATGTGTGGTATGAGAGAAGAGGCGAGAATGGCTCCAGTACATCAAAATACTTGAGGAAACCAAAAACCCAAATCTGTTGTTGTCAAATCGATTCTGACTTATGGCAACCCTATGTGTTACAGAGTAGAATTGCTCTTCATGTTTTCTTGGCTATAATCTTTATGGAAGCAGATCACCAGGCCTTTCTTCCACGCAGCTGCTGGGCAGGAGCCTGAACTGCCAACCTTCCGTTTGTGCCACCTAGGGTCCTCCTAAATACTTGAGGAAAAGATGTTGAATTCAGTTTGGAAAGCTGAGTTTGAAGTGCCTTTGTGACATCCAGTTGGAGATATCTGGTGAAGAGTTGGATTATGGACCTGAAGCGCAGGAGATTTGCGCTAAAGATGGAGATTTGGAAGTAATCAGTATAGATACATTTTTCGAAATCATGTGAGTGAGTGATACCACCCCAGAAAAATATATAGTATTAGGGAAAAAAGGTCTAGGGCAATTGGATCATGAGGAATTCTAACCCTCATGAAATGGGCAAAAAAGAACTGAGAACTAAGAAGGTAAGAAGAAACCCACACCAATTTTATGAGTCTCTCAGATCATGGCTTAAACACCACTTTAGAGGTATCTCAATTGATCCTCAATCAAAATTAGGTCTCCTCTGTTGTTTTTCTCTTTGAACCCTATTTTTCCCTTTATAACTCCTAGCACAATGTAAAATTATGTATTTATTTTTGTATTTTATTTGTTGATGTCTTGTTTTCCCACTCCATGAGAGCAGGAACTTCATCTTTGCTCTCCACTATATGCTCAGTTCCTAGCACAGTGTCTGATACATGATAGATGCTTGTTAATCAAATGAAAAAAGTATGGGGTCACAGAAGCCGGTGTGTGACGTTTTCAGAAGGAAGTAGTTTCAAATGCTGCTCAAGCAGTCCAATCAAGTAATAATAATAATAACCAGTGTATAGTGAGCACTGATGAATGAAGGAGTGAAAATGTGTTTATTGATGAGAAAGTATCGGATGAATTATCCATTGGGATAATTCAGGGAGCTCTTGGTCTGAAGGGGAGATAATAACAATAGCCGGTATTCTGCAGGCACTAGCTATGCTGTTCTCTTTACATGCAGTAGTTCATTCAGTCTTCACAACTCTGAAGATAGGTACAGTTATTATACCTGTGGTACAGATGAGGAAATAAGTTTAAGGAGATTATGTACTTTGCCCAAGGTCACACAGGTAATGTTGAAGGCAGGACTTGAACAAGGTCTTTCTGGTCCAAAGCCCATGCTTTTAGCCATCGTACTAACTCCACTTCTGTAGAGGGCTCCATTTGATTCCTTATCAGGAAAGTGATATCTTGAAAGGGACGTTTGAACAGGAATGCCTTTGCTGCTGTTTATAGGACGTATTAGAAGTGAGAGTAACTGGTATTGAGAAGCAAGATAAAAGGATTTTTCATTAATTTAGAGTAGGGTATTTAGTTCCAAACTAGGTTCATAATTATATCTAGAAATGAAAATGGAGACAATCTAAGATTTGTTCTTACGGAGGAATTGACAGGAGATGGATACCAATTAAAAACGAGGGGTGAAGAGAAAACAGAATAAAAAATTAATTATAAGATTGTAATCCTAGGAGTTGGAGATTTCCATAAACTGTACTGCTAATATGAAGAAATTGGAAATGTACCTTTTTGTTGCATGAAATAATAAGTTTGTGATTAAAATTTTATGGATTATTTGCACAAGAAAAAAATAGATTTGATTTAGATAGTGTTTGGGTCTTGAGAAAGGGGCTAGAAACAAAAATTTTAAGACTCGAGAAAAAGGATTTACCCAGAAGTATTAATTAAAACCATGTGAGAGATTCTCATGGATCTCAGCATTTTTAATAATAAACGTTACCGATATGACTACTAACATTGCAGTGCTGTTGAGTCAGTTCCAACTCATAGCGACCCTATGTACAACAGAACGAAACACTACCCGGTCCTGCGCCATCCTCACAATCGTTGTAATGCTTGAGCCCATTGTTGCAGCCACTGTGTCAGTCTATCTCACTGAAGGTCTTCCTCTTTTTTGCTGACCCTCTACTTTACCAAGCACGATGTCCTTCTCCAGGGACTGGTCCGTCCTGATAACATGTCCAAAGTATGTGAGACGAAGTCTTGCCATCCTTGCTTCTAAGGAGCATTCTGGCAGTACTTCCAAGACGGATTTGTTTGTTCTTTTGGTAGTGCGTGGTATATTCAGTATTCTTCGCCAACACCGTAATTCAAAGGCATCAGTTCTTCTTCTGTCTTCCTTATTCATTGTCCAGCTTTTGCATGCATATGAGGTGATTGAAAACAGCATGGCCTGGGGCAGGTGCACCTTGGTCCTTAAAGTGACATCTTTACTTTTTAACGCTTTAAGGATGTCTTTTGCAGTGCTATACTCGTTTAATAATTTAGAATGTAAGGAAAACTAAAAATTTTTTTCCGTTTGACAAGAATTGTTCCTCCTTTCACAAGCCTCGAGGGAGTAAAAGAGAATGAAGAGGTGTGTTGTCTGACACTAATAAAATCTGAAAAGTAATGATGAATGTAAGGCTAGAGATCTGATTCCTGAGTTTTATTAGGGATTCTTCAGAGAGTAGTGATTGATGAAGTGCGGTCATTAACTGTCGCAACCGTGTGAGAAAGAGCCTGGCTGACATGCCAGAGGGAATGACTTTGTATTGTCTGGCATCTATACCAAGATCCTAACATAGACTAAACATTTGATCTTTGTCATCTGACTACATAAACACAAGGTTACGCATATAGAATGCAAAGTGCTAAGAACGTACAATTCAAAATTCAAACCTACCTTATCACTTAATCATATATATTATTTATTTTCCTATCGGTATAAAAATCCCAAACCTTAGGAGTAAAAGTAGTTTTAAATCCTTTTGCAAAGTAGAGTTTAAACAGTAAACACAGACAAAAGAATTTTCTCTGACTCCCAGTTATACATTTATTTTTTTACACTTAAAAGCAGTCTTTCCCTCTTTGAAAAAGAAAAATAGCATCTATTTAATTACCCTAACAATGTTACGGAGCCCTGGTGGCACAGTGGTTAAGAACTTCGCTGCTAACAAAAGGTTTGCAGTTCGAATCCACCAGCTGCTCCTTGGAAATTCTATGGGGTAGTTCTACTCTGTCCTGTAGAGTCATTTTCATCCTAATTGCTCTCAGTGATTTCATAAAGGATTGTTAGTTTTGTTATTTTACAGATGTAGTAAAAAAAAGTGTAGAAACACTAAATAGCAGACAGCTCCTATGTTTGTGTATAGATTGATACTTTTATGATGGTTATAATTCATTAAGAGACCATAATGTTTAGAATTTTTCTAATATAGTGGGAACATTAGAGTACATTTCTTATTGTCGTCCTTCCTTTTTAGGTGTGAAGTTTTTCAACATGAGTGGCCTCGGGGATAGTTCATCTGACCCTGCTAACCCAGACTCACATAAGAGAAAAGGATCGCCATGTGACACGCTGGCATCAAGGTAGGAATACTTCTTTCTTAGTATGTTTTTGGAAGAGCTGCTTCATCATTTTCATTGCTGGTTTAGAGCTTTTGTTTCATCTACTCCAAGTTTACTGGCCTTTAAGTCCCTCAGCCTCGATATGCTCTCTTCCTCCCCCAAGACCATTGCTCTCTCAGTCCAGTCTGCTCTCTTTTGATTTCCGATAGTGAACACCTCTGCATCCTCAGATGCCAGCTTCTTCTTCACTTTCTCAAGGGAGCATTCCCTTCCTTCCGTGAATATTAGTCAAGTCTTCCTCATTCATATATCTGTCTCAACATTTTTATAACTCTGATCCATAATTACAGATTTTCACTGGTTGGTGTGATTATTTTGTAAATGCCTGGCTTCTCCACTAGACTTGAAACTGCATTAGGCGAGGGGACTTGTTTTTTCTTGCTCACCATTGTATCCCTAGTTCCTAGCAAAATGTCTGGATTATATATGGTAAGGATGCAGTAAATGTTTGCCAAATGAATGAATCAAATCTATTGTACATCTTTACTTCCTCAGAACATGATGGTATTGGTGGAACTTAGAAATACCGTGTTTTAATATCAGGATTTTTAAAAATGATTATTTATGAGACTGAATATTTGGTTATGTTGTAAGGAATATGACCACCTTAACCGGCTAAAAGAAACCCATTGCCTAAGAAGACTGTAACAAATGTCGGATAGAGAAGGAAACGCAATCAGATCAGAAGGGCAGCTTTCCATCTTCGAGAAGAGAGGGGATTTTATTCCATTCACTCTGAGGATCTAGAGCAAAGTTTCTCAACCTCTGCATGGTTGACATTTTGGGCTGGATAATTCTTTGTTGGGGGGCGGGGAGCTGTCCTGTATACTGTAGGGTGTTTAGCAGTATCCCTGGCCTCCTACACACTAGATCCAGTAGCATCCCAGTTGTGAAAACCAGAAATGTCTCTAGACATTGCCAGGTGTCTCCTGGGAGCAGGGGAGAACAAAATCGCCCCCATGTGAGAATCACTGATGAAGACAGTAAAGTGGCAGAAGACTCTTCATTGTATTAGATACGTCTTTCTCATGGAGGGAAAAAGAAAGAATTTTAATAGGAGAGTATCAGGGCTTTAGACTGGAGAAAGAAAGTTATTGTCTTAATCAGCTTAAAGAACTGTAACAGAGAGATGATACTAAATTTAGTAAGCACTATTTAGAGTGCAACTAAATTTACATAAATGGTATAAAAAACCAAACCCACTGCCATCAAGTTGATTCCGACTCGTAGTGATTTATAGAAGCAGACTACCACGTCTTTCTCTCTCGGTGCGGCTAGTGGGTTCAAACCACCAACCTTCTGATTAGCAGCCGAGCGTTTTAACCACTTTAACCAGCCTTTAACCAGGGCTCCTATAAATGGTATAATACTGTATCTGTTGGTATGTAAGGAACCCTGGTGGCACAGTGGTTAAAGTGTTTGGCTGCTAACTGAAAGTTTGGCAGTTTGAACATACCAGCTGCTGCGTGGGAGATGTGGCAGTTTGCTTCTGTAAAGATTTACAGCCTTGGAAACCCTATGGGGCAGTTCTGCTCTGTCCTGTAGGGTCGCTATGAGTTGAAATTGACTAGATGGCAACAGGTTTGGTTTGGTTTATATTGATCTACAATATATTTTTTTCAACATGAATTTTGAGATATACATAGACTTATTCATTCCTGTTAACCTTTGAGTAATATTCTGTTACATGAATATACCACATTTGAAAAATGTATTCTCCTGTTAATACACATACAGATTATTATAAATTTTCACTATTGCAGCCAGCATCCTCATACACATCTCCTGTTACATGTGTGTAGGAGTTTCTTTAAGCTCTGTATACATTTTTATGTTAACTAGGTAATTACCGCATTGCTCTCCAAATGACAATCCCTAAGAGTTCCTGTTTCCCCACATTCTTACTAACTCTATTCTATTCACACTTGAACTGTTTGCCAGTCTGAATGGTGTGTGATTATACTGTTAAATACATTTCCCTGATTATTGGATATGTTGATTATCATTTCATATTTTTATTGGCCCTTACGTTTTCCTCTTCTGTGAATTTCCTGCCCATGTTCCTGCTAGGTTGTCTTTTTTTTTTATTTGTAAAAGTTATTTTTAATTTTTTGAGTTACTAATCTGTTTTTTTCTTATTTGATACAAATATCTCCTCCAGCCTGTGCATTTAACTCTTTTTAGGATGTCTTTTGACATACAGAGCCTTAAGTTTTTATCTGTCAAGCTTTTAGGATCTTGGTTAAGAATTTTTTCCTCTACTCCAAGGTCTTAAATGTAATTTTTTTTTTCTAGTATACATTTAGGTTTTAATTAATCTGGAATTTATTTTTGTATAGGGTATAACGTAGGGATCTAATTTTATTTTATTTTTTTCCATATAGGAAGTAGTGGTCATAATACTACTCTTTCCCTGCTTTTGTACTGTTACCTTTATTATAGACCAAGTTCCTGTATATAAAGGGATCTGACTCTGAGCTTTCTTATGATAAGCCTTGATATCTGATCGGACAAGTCTCTCTTCTTTGTTATTTTTCAGAATTATTTTCCCTCTTCTTGGCCCTTTATTCTCCCATTCAGATTTTAGAATTTTTAAGTTTCTCCCCAAAAAAATCCTGCTGTGAAATTTGTCAAATTTGTCTTGCTGCATGTACTTGCTATGAAAGTTGTAAGATACAGTTTTTCTAAATAAAATGGGAATAGTTTCTCAATAATGAATGATTTAAAAGATAGAATATGTGATTGTCATTAAAATTTGGTTTTGTTTTGTGATGTGTACCATTTAGTAGTATTTTGTTTTATGTAGGTAAATACATTTGATTGATTGATTTGGTTCTTTTCAGCTTACTTTGTTGTTGGGTAGGTTCTATAGCTTCTATAGCCTTTTTTTAATGAAGAAAAGTAAATGTTTTAATTGCTGACAATTATGAGCATTTTAGCAACTGATCTTTCCTTCTCACGTTTTTTTCTACTACTTTTATATGCAGCCAAATGATTTTCATTTTTGCTTATAAAACAAAGAGCTACTTGTGGCCAGTCTTTCTTATTATGTTAATCTGATAATAGGAAAATTCGTTTCAAATTAATACTTCATTGTGTATGTTACATAAAGTAAGTTGCCTGATAATTTGGCTAAATAAACTAAGGGTAAAGACTGGAAAACAAAAATCATCAATGTTCATGGAGTGTATTTGAATGCTTTAAAAAAAAGTGCTAGCTGTCTGCATTATAATTTATTCCTCTCAATATTTTACTTTAAGATAAGTCAAGTTTGATTTTATTTGTTATATTTGAGAATTTTTACATAGATGGTTTTTTTTTAGGACAAAGTTGTAAACAAAAGACATTGTTCTCTGTACTGTTTTCTCTAATTATTGATTTATGTTTTTATTTTACGTTTTGAATAGATACACTTTCTTTTGTTGAGGACTAACTAATGTTCTAATCATTATAAGAATCAAGAGTATCAGATTTCTAATTATAACTTATTTGAAATCCTAGTATAATAAGTCCTGCTTAATTTAAAACAAAGTTGTTTAAAAATTCCTGTCTTCTGTTTTAAGGAATAATTATTTAGAATGTAAAATAATTCATAATGCAACTAGTATATTTACTTCCTGATGGCGCAGTGGTTAAGAACTCAGCTGTGAACCAAAAAGTCGGCAGTTCGAATCCACCAGCTGCTTTTTGGAAACCCTATGGGGCAGTTCTACTCTGTCCTGTAGGGTCACTGGGAATCGACTTGACCACAACAGGTGCTTTTAATAAACGGGTGACTCAAATAAATGGTTAAGCATTTGACTATTAATGAAAGGTTGGTGGTTTGAACATACCTAGAGGCACCTTAGAAGAAAGACCTGGTCACAGCCTTGAAAACCCTATAGAGCACAGTTCTACTCTGCAACACATGGGGTTGCTGTGAGTCAGAATCAACTTGATGGCAACTGGTTTGATTTTTTTTTCGTTTTAATATCTAGTACTCTGGTGATTTGAAATATTAAAGTATGTATATCATTAGGGAAATACAGTCGTTCATTTTATGTATTTTTAGTCGCAATTGTTTTCTGCACTTTGGTGTGTTATAGTATCTTGTTTAGACATGAACTTACATTGCTTTCTAAATCTAGTTTTGTAATCTGGATTAATCTGGATTAAAGTCTCCCCACCTGCATAAGAGTCTCTATAAACATTTAAACAATAAATACTTGATCAAAGAAGGAAATGTTGTGATAGAAATGTACTCTAACTGGATTTTCTTTATGTAACAGCACTGAAAAGAGGCGCAGGGAGCAAGAAAATAAATATTTAGAAGAGCTAGCTGAGTTACTTTCTGCCAACATCAGTGACATTGACAGCTTGAGTGTGAAACCAGACAAATGCAAGATTTTGAAAAAGACAGTGGATCAGATACAGCTAATGAAAAGGATGGAACAAGGTAAAAAAACAAAATGAAACAAAAACCTATGGCTATACACTTTGTTATTAAGACATTTACAATATGTGGTTTTAGTTTTTATTATTAAGAAACTGTATTGAACACCATAATTTTAGTAAAGAAACATTTTTAACTAATACTTATTTTAGAAAGTGAATCTGAGAACCTTCTTGTTACAACAAAGTGGGTTACTGCACTAACTTGAGAACTGATTGCTTTCGGAGGTTATGTGACCCAGTATCCTAGGGTATTGAGTCAGGAGACAAGATGTAGACTTGGACCTAAGACCCTGCATAGCGCTGAAGGACAGCAACTCAGTGCAGGGAAAAATATCCCACTTGCATAAGGAAGCTTGTCTCTGCCTGGACTCTGGATTAGGGAAACCATCTCCTCTGAAAAAACCCTCAGCCTGTGCTTTATGTAATTTTGAGGTTTGTATTTATAGTGCCCATATTTCCGGGGAACCCCACACCAAGAAAACCTATGAGTTGCCTACCAGAAACAAAGGCAAAGCACTTTGGAAGAACACTCCTACAACCTGGCTACACGGGATTCCCGCAGGAAACGCCCTTCTGAGGGTGCTTTTCTACTTAAAATTTCTATACATATGAAGAAATAATCTGCAATGTGTAAGAACATAAATAACAAACAGGAGGACTAGACCCAGAAGAAGTTCAGATTATTAAAAGCAGCAATGTGAAAAGACTAAAATAAATATGCTTAAAATGATTAAAGTTATAAAATAAGAATGACTATGGAAAAGGCAGATAGATCTGGAAAAAGAAAAAAATAGTACTTATAGAAGTAGAAATAAAGTCATTAAAACTAAAAACTAGTGAATGAATTAGCAAATTAGGGATCTGAGGAAATGACCAGAATGTAGCAGAAAGTGATAGAATAAAAAGATAGAAATAAGCCTTGTCAAACTATCTGACTCTCTAACCTTTGCGAATGTATAATTTTGGTTAAAAAGAGATTCATTTAAGAAAAAGAGCTTAGCACAGTTCCTGGCTGGTATGTAGTAAGTAATCATTAAGTTAGTTACCATTGTTCTAAAACAAAATTAAATTAAATGCTACCAACAAGAAAAACAATTATCAGACCCAGATAACTTGTACAAGTGAGTTCTAACAAATCTTCAAAAACAGATAATTCTAATCTTATACAAACTCTACCCAAGAATAGAAAAACAGGGACAGAGGACCTAAACTCATTTTATGAAGCTCGTAAACCAAGGTACCAATTCAGAGAAGGCCAAAATGAGAGTGAAAAATATAGGCTTATCTCATTTACAAACCTAGAAATAAAAGTTCTTTATAAAATATTAACATACATAAAATATTAACAAATTAACAGTCCACCAGTGGAGTATTTTTTTAAAAGAAGATTCGTCATATTTGAGGAAAGCCTGTAATATGAAAGAGAACAAAACAACACATAAAAAAGAAACTCAGAGGAAGCTGAGATAATGCAGTGAGCAGAAGAAAACTTAGAACAACCCAGCAGTCCCTCGGAGACAGAAGGGAAGATATTTTATCCATGAACAAGGATAAAATGCTATAAAATGAAATATTGAAAACAAGAAATAACTTTTGGAAATTAAAAATAGGATAGCTGAAAAACTTTACATCTTAACCTTGTTTTCTGTTCTTTGCCTTCTCACACCTTCTGCTCCATACACTCCAGGCACATGTGCTGCTGGTATTTGCACTTCCTGTTCCCTCTTCCTGAAATGCTCTTCCCTAATTATCCACATGGCTCACTCCCTCACGCTATTCGTGTGTTTGCTCAAATCTCTCTTCTCAGTGAAATTGTCTCTGACTACTCTATTTAAAACTTCAACAAAACAAAACAAAAAAACTCACATATACCTCTACACTTTCCTTGATTTATTTTGCCCACAGCACTTTTTACATCTGACGTATTATATATTTAATTTGCTTATTGTCTACCTATCCCTACTAGAGCTCCATGAGGGCAAGGATTTTTGTCTGTTCCCTATTTATCTCCAGTGCCTGAAATAGTTCCTGGCTACATAGTAGGCTTTCAGTGACTATGTGTTGAATGGATGAAGGGTTGAAAGATAATTTGAAGAAATCACATAGAAAGTAAAATAAGACAAGCAATGGAAAGCGAGATAAAAGATAAGAAATTTACAGGACTAGTTCAGGAAGTGTAGCATATGATTAATCCCAGATAAAGAGAACAGATCAAATACAAGGGAGGAAATTATAAGAGAAAAAAAAATTTTTTTAATTCTCAGAACTACAGAGATACGAGTTTCCAGATTGAAAGCACTCATGTAGTACCCGACACAGTAAATAAAAAAGAAAGAAAATCTTATACCAATACACAGTTTAGTGACATTTCAAAACACTGGAGAAAAAAAAAAAACAAGAGAGGAAACAAAGGATCACACACACTAGATTGCTTTTGGAATGGGTCCAGATTCAATGACTTTGAAAACTAGAATTCTAGACCTAGAATTCTGTGTTCATCCAAATGAAGTATGAGTACAAAATAAAGACATCTTCATATTTTAAAATGAAGAAATGTCTGTATTCAGTAATACCACTTTTTTATGTTACCAGTGGTACAGCCGCTTTGGAGAGCAATTTAGTAAGGCTGAAGATACGCAGACCCTGTGTCCAGCAATTTCACTTCTGGTGTTTACCTTGAAGAAACCGTCATACATGTGCAAAAGAGGAGATGCTGAAAATTGTTTATTATAACACTGTATATAGTGTCAAAAGGGCCATCAGTAGGGGAATAGATAAATCAATAGTGAGTTATTCATATAATTTAATACTATACAGCAGTTAAAATGAATGAATCAAATCTATATGTAATCAGTATGTTTAAATCTTAAACATAATATTGAGTAGAAAAAGTAAGCTGAAGAAGTCTATATTTATGTAAACTTTAAAACAAAACAGTATATGTAGTAAAAGTAAAAACTTGCTCAGAAATGATTCATGCCAACCTCAGAATAGTGGTTATTTCTGAAAGGGGACAGGTGGCAGGGCTTTTGCTGTATTTACAACATTTTATTTATTTAAAAAGGAAGGACCTGAAGCAAAAAATGGCAAAATGTTTAACATCTGTGAAAAGTCAGTGGTGGCTGTGTGAATGTATGCTGTATCTTTTTCTGTGTGTTTTGGAATATTTGAAGTATTTCATATTTTAAAATGAAGACATGAATGTCTGTATTCAGTAATACTCACATTTGGGTTTTGGTGAACCACCTAGCTATGAGTCAGAATCGACTTGACTGCAACATGTAAACTAGCCTGACAGATTGGAAACTTATTGCTTAAGTATGATGCTGCTTTAAGGTGAAGGGAGAAATTTTTCAACATCACCACACAAAAGAACTCCCAGTCATTTGGCAATTATAATTTTTTCAATCAGAGAGAGCATCATGACATGAATGTGAAAAGTTAGCTAATTCATGCTAACTCTCCAAAGGAAAAATCATATCTTTATTCTCACTTCCGTGGCAGTTGATCAGATCAGGAAAGGAAAAAAGAAAAATGGAGGAAACAAAACAATCATTCTTTTTACAATTTATCCATTTCTTAAAAACTTTTGGTGTGGACTTTTTTAAAAGGCTATATATTTATAGCATTTTTCTCATTGTTGGAACACTGGACTTGGTAGGTCAAGATTCAGATTTCTCATGCTGCCACTTTCTAGTTGTATGATTTGGGGCACATTACTTAACCTTTGTGACCCTCAATTTTGTTTTCCATAAAATGAGGATAATTAAGATTAAATATGAAAGTGCCTAGATGCTAAATAAATATTATTTGAGTCTGAAGTTAGGTGAGTCTATATCTTCATAAACTTACCTTTTTAGAAATGAGCCCTTTTTAGGTGTATGAAATTTGAGTTTCTTTATTACAGAGAAATCAACAACTGATGATGATGTACAGAAATCAGACATTTCATCGAGTAGTCAAGGAGTGATTGAAAAGGAATCTTTGGGGCCTCTTCTTTTGGAGGTAGGTGTTGTCATTGACCTAGAAAGTGATCAGAATCTTTGTTCTAGCTAATTTGTTATTTTCTCCATCTTCTTTTATGTCTGATATCCAATTAATAAATTATAAAACAAAGTAAGGTTTTTAAATAATTTTTAATAATTATTTTATTATGAAAACTTTTTGACAGTTGTTACCATTTCAGAATTAAATGTGAATAATGAACATGAAAATTTTTCATAAAGGCATTTCTAAGTAGTCAGATGGAAAACTGAGGCCTACTGTATGGTTTTGACTTTATTTCTGGGATGTTAGGACTAGTTGGGAAAATAAAATACTGTAGAATTATTTAGCTAGCTAGTGCTATCTATATATCTACTGTAGAATTTCACTTTTGAATGAGGGATGGCTCACTTTATTCTGGTTGATGTGTTCCTGAGAAGTTTTCTGACTAAAATTTTTAAAATTATTTATGTAAGCATTTTCTGAGAGAACTCACTATTTTAACAACCCTTTATCAAACTTTGTAAAGTGAAGAACTTTTAAACTTGAATAATCACTGTGAAACACCTCCCTTTTCCTATCTTATCTTTGCTCCCTCTATTCTCAACACAGATGTTTTGTTAGATAAATTATTCTCTAGGCCTAATAATTTATATATTTATATGTAAACTCCTTTCCTTGCCCTTCCTCAAGGCCCTCCTTTCTGGTGAAGTCTTCCTAACCACTCAAACCTGCATAGGCCTTTTTCCTTTCTAACTCCCTTATATTTTTTGTACTATTACCCTATCTGCTCCTCTGTCTTTTGTATTAACCATTGTTCCTCTGTTACTACCACTAATGTGAGGACATTCTCAGAATTCAGTTCTTGCTTTTCCAAACCCAGAAATACCATCTATTCTCATAGCTGCACCTTTCATCTCTATACATCTCTTACCTTTTCGTCTTCCCATGCTCCATTCCTGTACTTCTAACAAGCTGCTAAATATTTTTTGACTCTCCTATTAGCAGCTAGTCCTGGGTAGCACAGATGGTTAAGCGTTCAACTATCAGCCAAAAGGTTGATGGCTCAAACGCATCCAGAGATGCCTCAAGAAGACAGGCCTGGCAGTGTGCTTCCATAAAGATCATAGCCTTGAAAACCCTATGGAGCAGTTCTACTCTGCACACATGGGGTCACCATGAGTTGGAATCAGCTCAACAGCAACTGACAACAACAACCAGCCACATTTCTTTTTTTTTCTTTTTATTGTGCTTTAGGTAAAAGTTTACAGCTGAAGTTAGTTTCTCATGTAAAAATTTGTACACATATTATGTGACATTAGTTGTAATCCCTGTAATGTGACAGCACACTCTTCCTTTCCACCCTGGGTTTCTTGTGTCCATTCAACCAACTCCTGTCCTATCCTGCCTTCTCATCCTGCCTCCAGACAGGAGCCGACCAATTAGCTCGTGTTTCTGCTTGAACTAAGAAGCACACTCTTCATGAGTATTATTTTATGTTCTATAGTCCAGTCTAATCTTTGTTTGAAGAGTGGGCTTTGGGAATGGTTTTAGTTCTGGGTTAATAGAGCATCTCGGGGCCATGGCTTTGGGAGTTCCTCCAGTCTCAGTCAGACCATTAACTCTGGTCTTTTTACGTGAATTTGAGTTCCGCTCTGCAGTTTTCTCCTGCTTCATCATGAACTCTCTTTTGTGTTCCCTGTCAGAGTGGTCACTGATGGTAGTCGGACACCTTCTAGTTCTTCGACCAGACACATTTCAAGTATGACTAGTAGCTATTGTATTGGGCAACACTGATATATAACATTTCCATCATTGCAAAAAGTTCTATTTGACAGCACTGGTCTAGGGGGACTTTTCTAGATGGATCATCTGTACTTTTTTAAAGGGAGCAAATATACAACATAATATGAGAAATTCTAACAATACAGTTTATAATTTATTCCTTTTTTTTTTTTTTAACATAAAATAGAGGTAGCATGAGCTGAGAATGAAGGTATTGGAGAGGATTTCATCACCTGTAAAGAGAGATTGGTATTAGAATTTGTTCATTCAACAAATATTTTATGAATACTTACTATATATCAAGAAGCCCTGGTGGCACAGTGGTTAAAGCACTCGGCTGCTAACCGAAAGGTTGACAGTTCAAACCCACCAGCCGCTCTGTGGGAAAAAGATGTGGCAGTCTAATTCCGAAAAGATTTACAGCCTTGGAAACCCTAAGAGACAGTTCTACTCTGTCCTGTAGGGTTGCTAGGAGTTGGAATTAACTCGAAAGCAATGGATTTGGTTTTGGTTTTTGGACTATATGGCAAACATTGGATGTTTACCTCATGGAATTGTTATGAAAATTAAATGAAACCATTGCTTAGAGTGCCTGACACATAGTTAGTACTCTTCAGTACAGGCCTTTTTTTTTTTTTTCCCCTCCTCATTTCCCCATGGCTCTTAGCTGTTACATCAAGTCTACATTCCTCTGCCTACGTTTCAGTCTCTACCTGGTCTAGCCCTTCTTGTTTCTCATTGCTCCCAAGAAAAACTCTGTTTTAGTCAAGGAGGTCTCCCTATACCTTACATGTGCATTTACGCCTCCCTGCCTTGCTTTAGGAGCCCCGGTGGTGCAATGGTTAAGAGCTCAACTGCTAACCAAAAGGTCAGCAGTTTAAATCCACCAGCCGCTCCTTGGAAACCCTGTGGGCAGTTCTACTCTGTCCTGTAGGGTCGCTATAAGTTGGAATCGACTCACTGGCAACGGGTTTTTTTTTTTCCTTCTTTTTTTGTACCTTGCTTTATACTATTCCCTACATTTCTGTGTGGCTTTTGACACTGTTGACCACCACTCCCTCCTCTCTGACAGTGCTACCTCCTCTACCTCTCTAGTTATTCCTTAGCCTCTTTCTCAGATTTCTTTTTCTTTACCTGCCTCTTAAATGTTCATGTCCCCTGGATTCTGGCCTTGGCTCTTTTCCTTTTTTGTTTTGTGAACATTTCCTGGGCAGTGTGGCCCACATCTGTGTCTATATAATGTATTCTCATAGGTGTATGTGTGTGCTATCAGTTATGGTTGTCTAATTTCAAGCAACGGACTCACTTCTGACTAAATTAAGCAAGTGTGAATTTACTGGAATGTCATTTGGGTATCACAGAATCATGTTTGGAAATATGCTGAAACCAAGGCATCTTAAGAGACTAGAAAGCAAAAACTGTATGAATGGTCTTTCAGAAAGAACCATCCAGTCAGTGCTCTGCTGCTAGAATGAATGCAGTTTAGCCATGTTCAGTCCTTTTGCAATTCTCCTCAAGGTTCACGTTTTAAGGAGGAAGTCTCCCAATGACCTGATTAAGAATCCCATGAGACTTTATTTAATGGGGAAGAAATAATTCCCTAAGGGAAATCAGGGTATTCTTTGGAAGGGAAAGACAAAAAACCAAATGACCACTGTATGTGCTGTGAATGTCAAACCTCTTTTTTTAGTCCAGATTTCTCCTTAGAGCTTCCCTCTCATTATATCCTGCTGCCTTTTGAACATCTCCATTTGAGTGTTCTTCAGTCACTTCAAATATAATTCCAAAACTAAATTTATAATCCCTTCCTTTATCTCCTGTTTAAGAGAAAAGAGCCAAAAAATACTGTTTTTCCTCCTACATCCCCTCTCCCAAGGAAAAGCATTTATCTACTAGAACCCTAAAGTCAATAATGAAGGGGTCACCTCAAATGCAGTTTATTCTGCCTCTGTCAGATTCTGTTTTGTCACTTCTACTGCCATTGCCTTAGTTCGGTCCCCATTTGAACTGGATTATTACAATAGCATTGCAGCTGGTCTCCTTGCCTCCAGTCCGTGTGCCACACGCATCACCAGAAGGGTCTTCATAAAAGCAGATCATGTCAGTCTGCTGAAAGCCATGAGTTAAAGACAATCCCCATTGCCTTCAGGATAAATTCCTTATGTATTTGCTTTTCTTTGACGCCAAAAAAAAAAAAAAAACTTTTTACTGTTAAGTATCATGTAAACATGACAAGTACATACAGAGTTTTTTGGATTATTTGTTGTTGTTGTTTTTAACCTCTGAGCTGTTTCCTGTTTTAAATGTGCTTTCCACCTGTCATGGATTGAATTATGTCCCCCAAAAAATGTGTGGGTCGTGATTCCCAGTATTGTGTGATTGTGTAATCTGATGTGATTTCCTTATGTTATAAACTCTATCACTATGATGAGACTATATGTGATTTCCTTATGTGTTGTAAATTCAATCACTATTATCTAATACAGTGGATTAGCGGCAGTTATACTGATGAGGTTTACAAGATTGGATAGTGTCTTAAGCCAATCTCTTTTGAGATATAAAAGAGAGAAGCGAGCAGAGACACACGGGAACCACATACCACCAAGAAAGCAGTGCTGGGAGCAGAGCACATCCTTTGGAATTGAGGTTCCTGCCTTAGATGCTCCCAGACCAAAGGAAGACTGATGTATCACCAGGACCTTCCTCCAGAACCGACAGAGAGAGAAAGCCTTCTCCTGGAACTGATGCCCTGAATTTGGACTTGTAGCCTACCGGACTGTGAGAGAATAAATTTCTGTTTGTTAAAACTATCCACTTGTGGTACTTCTGTTAGAGCAGCACTAGACCAAAGGAAGACTGATGTATCACCAGGACCTTCCTCCAGAACCGACAGAGAGAGAAAGCCTTCTCCTGGAACTGATGCCCCGAATTTGGACTTGTAGCCTACCAGACTGTGAGAGAATAAATTTCTGTTTGTTAAAACTATCCACTTGTGGTATTTCTGTTAGAGCAGCACTAGATGACTAAGACACCACCCTTCCTCCACCTGAGTAACTGCTCTGTTTCCTTCAAACCACAGCTGAAGTGCAGCCTCATCCAACCTTACCTGTGACAAACATCTCTTTTCCCCTATTTTGAGTGCCTTACCCTACGTTAAGGAGCCCTAATGGCACAATAGTTAAGCGCTTGACTGCTAACCGAAGGGTCAGAAGTTTGAACCTACTCAGTGGCTCTGAGGGAGAAAAGAACTGGTGGTCTGCCCCCATAAGGATTACAGCCTTGGAAATCCTATGGGGCAGTTCCACTCTGTCCTATAGGTTTGCTATAAGTCAGAATTGAACTAGATGGCACACAACTCTGTGTTAACCTTTATGAATTCTCCTATTGTACTTTATTTTACTTGTCTTTTTCCCTTCAGAGCCTATACAATTGTTGAGATTTATGGCTTATCCCAGAATATCGTGCAGTTCTGACACGTAGGTGATGCTTTGTGAAGTTTGTGTAATCATGTAAAGCCAGGGCACTGTGAGAAGTCTTGGTCAAAGGGTAAAGAGAAAAACCTCTCAGATTATGTTGTATTTAATGGACAGGCATTTGTTATCTCCTGTGGGCAGCACATCATCATAAGGCCAGCTGTTAGAACTTGGAGAAACAGGAAGATTCGTTCCCAAGAGCACACTTGGAAGTTAAATAAATGTATATGTACAACATATAACACAAACTAGTGGAACAGGGACAAGTATTAGCAGATTATACTGATCTGACATATTTTTAGAAATTAGAATAGCCTCAAAGAATGTTCCCTGAAATGTTACCAATTATTACTACTTGGAAGTAGAATTTTGGTGGATCTTCTACTATCTACCTTATTTTAGTATTTAAAAATTTTTATAAGTATATATTTCATTTATAATAAAAAATAAAATAAGGAAGTTAATTTATATCACACTGGTTCAATTAATAGCTAACAGCATTTTAAAGAATTTTACTTTACAAAAACCTGTATTTCAGTAATCTCTATTTTCATATAAACTACAAGGCAAATAAATGTATGCCTATATGCCGGTAACCTACTATGAGATATATAACTTATCTGACTTAAAAACAATTGAGTTAATTAGATATGAGGGTGCTTCCCTATGCTTATCTAAACCCAAAATAGTTTAGCAAAAGGTTTATCTAGTGCTCAGGTTTTTCTATTATTAATCACATCCTTTTCTTTGATTATGGACTAAGTGAGACATAGTTACAGAAGCCATGTAGGAATAAAAACAAGAGCTTTGTTTCTTTTTGTTCTTGCTAAAGAAACTATTGACAGTATTTTTATAATGATTGTGCTTCATTATTTTAAAAATTTTTGTGATGCAGTGATTTGAAGATACTAGTTTTCAGCTCAGTTTATTTTAATATTTGGTTTAAATGATCATCTTAGCTGAAAAAGACATCTCATTAAAATGAGTTAGATGCAAATAGGAAAGTATCATTGGATGAATTTACTAAGTCATGATTGTTGTTAGGTGCTGTTTAGTCGGTTCTGACTCATAGCGACCTTTTGTAGGACAGAATGAAACACTGTCCAGTCCTGCGCCATCCTTACAATCCTTGTTATGCTTGAGCCCATTGTTGCAGCCACTGTGTCAGTCCATCTCATTGAGGGTCATGATACTCATTTTAAAATCCTACCCACTGATTATGCAAAGGTTTTTATTGAAATTCCATCTCCCTTGGTCTCAAACTGTGATTCTTCCAAACTAATTTTGCATGTTTACATTTTAAACAAATGGTTCAAAGCCCACTGAAACACTGGAAGATTTTTAAACAGGTAAAAGGTACTGGTTCTAAGTTTTTAAACCGAGGATATAAGATAATTTATTACAAGTGATACACATCATTTTCAGCAACAAAATCATAGCTATAGAAACATTTCCAAACATCCATTTTTACATGCTTCTCTGTAACATAAGAGTGTTGACGTGTCCTGGAGTTGACAACAGTGTTAAAAAAACAATATGTGTATTATTTAATGAGAAGCTAGTTTGCTCTGTAAATCTTCATCTAAAGTACAATAAAAAATAATAATGAAAAAGAGGAAGACCCTCAATGAGATGGATTGACACAGTGGCTGCAACGGTGGGCTCAAGCATGGCAAGGATTGTGGGGATGGCTCAGGACCAGGCAGTGTTTTGTTTTGTTGTACATAGGGTCACTATGAGTCGGAGCTGACTCGACAGCACCTAACAACAATATTAAATTTGTTACCATCTGAAAAAAATTAAAAAGCAGCCTACTTTTCATTCATTGTTCAAATTTCATCCTTGTGGTGAAGGGACAAAAGTGTGCTTATTTTGTGGAAAATACCTGTGAGATAGCATATTATCATCAACCACTTGTCATCATAGAGAAGACCAGCAAATTTGGAACATTTGCCTTAAAGAAAAAAGAAAAAAAAGCTGTCCATCTTTGTTAGAAACCTCTTTTAGTTGTTTTGCCACAAGATAACCAGCAAAGCCCTGTGTGATATAAGAATTTTTATGATCATTTCACATTTTGTTACAATTTCTTTAAATGTTCTACTTTTTAAAGGTCTTATTTTTATTACTTACTGCTGCATTCTGTATCAAGTAAACCACAATATGTTTCAATAAACTGAAAAATTACAAGTGCCCCTGTCAGGCTCTGCATTCTGGGTCTTCCCTCAAGATTCCACGGTTTGTGATATGTGATCGTCTGGGCTGAGTGAGGCTCCAGGGTGTTGATACGTTCATTAACCTTAATTCCTCTCTTATATTTTAGATTACAATGTAAATTGAAGTTGTAATGTTTTCTTTCTGCACTCCAGTGGATATTATGTGCCCCTTGGGGCACATCCATCTTCTTTTAGAGGCCCCTGTCACCATCTCATTGCATAGGAGACCCCCTGTGATTTGGCTCCTATCCACCTCTCTTGACTTGTGTCCTGGCACAGACCTGCCTTGTATCATATACTCCAGCAGCTTCAAACTGCTTATTAGTTTCCTTTATGTTCCATGCTCTCCCTTCTGCCTAGAATACCCTTCCCTTATTCCTCTTTGCCTGCTCCACCAAACCTTTTATAACTCCGGTTGGGGGAAGGTCTATAAGGAGCCTTTCTGGAGTGAGGTCTTAGAAATGTTTATGACCGAATGAATGGGATGATCATTTACTTCACATCTGCTACCATAAAATTTATTCCTAAGGATGAAGGTTAATATATTCATTCATGCCTACTTGAAACATTAGTGTATAGTCTGTTTAAAAATTGCATCCACTCTACATAACCTAACATATATTTATAATCTCTTTCTTAATAAAGAAATGTATATGCCTATCACGATAGGGTTGCTGTGAGTTGGAATTGACTCAGTGGCCAGGGTTTTTTTTTTTTTTTTTTTTGGTACTACTATTTTTCTTTTTAACTTCTAACCTCCTAACTCTTAATCCCTTGCTTGGGCTTTGCAGGCTTTGGATGGATTTTTCTTTGTTGTGAACTGTGAAGGGAGAATTGTATTTGTGTCAGAGAATGTGACCAGCTACTTGGGTTACAATCAGGAAGAATTAATGAATACCAGCGTCTACAGCATACTGCATGTTGGAGATCATGCAGAATTTGTGAAGAATCTGCTACCAAAATCTCTAGGTAAAAAGAAGTTTGTTTTTTAAAACAATAACAACTCCCTGTAGCTTCTCCTTATATATTAAGTATATACTATATAACAATAATTATTATATTTTAAGACATAGTATTATTGTATAACATGTTATAATATATTGCAAATATTTGTTGAATGTAGTTTCACCTTGTCCTAAGGACTCTCTTAATTAAACTTCCCATGTTGTCATTTGAGGTACTCTGCTTACTATTTCCTGTGAAACAGACAAGCCTGGGAACAATGTAGAAATCATATGATTTTGACATCTCATTTTGAGTCTCACCCTTTTCTCATAAGGTGACCCTGTTAATCCCAGTCTGAAAATATAATAATGGTATATATGTTGATGCAGAAGGAAGTAAAACAGTGTCTGTGCATATGTGTGTCTGTGGGTATATGTGTGTATACACAAATGTGTGTGTTAGTAGTTTTTCAGTATGGATTGAGTTCCCATCTGGAATAATTTGAACATTAAAAGTTTATGAAAAATTTAAATTATTGTATAGTACACAAGAAAACAGGAGCAAGAAAACTAAGGAAGGAGGAAGCCAAATGGGGAGGGTAACAGGAGACCAATTATAACTTCAGTTGGTAATATGTAACGCTAGTACTAAGTCCTGCTTTTTTTTTTTTCCATAAAGTTATCTGAAAGAAACTTCTGTTTGTTGTGTCTGTTGTTAAAGGGCTCATATATATGTATATTTTATAAGAAGAAGGGAGGTAAATCTATAAAAAGTAGTGTGACTTCAGCACTACTCCCTAATCAAGGTCTGGACTCTGTTAACATGGAAAGATTGGCAGTCAGCACATGATAGGAAGCTTCTCCTGTGAGGTATGGATGCCTGCTAACTTGTCAGAAATGTACCAGTCTTAGAGAACATTCCACTTCTTTCATTGGATCCCAGGAATTACAGCTCAGAACCCTCTTAAAAACATACATTCTTAACCTTTTCTTATATAAAACGGGATTTATGACATATGATTCTAAGGTAATGAGATTGATTTGTTTGGGAGCTCTGTAGCTGGATTCTTCTAAATTAGAAAAACTAATTTTAAAAAATTTTGTAATATATTACTTAAATAACATTTCAGTAACAACATAATCTCTCAAAGTGACAACTCATTTTTCTATGATAAGGTACAGTATATTTACCCAAAAAGAGCTATCTCAATATTTATATAGTTGAACCATGGATTGACTCAGCCATTAGCACCATGAATGTGTTAGCATGGATTGGTTTATCAGACCATCCATTCCATAGTTAATCCCTGGGCTGTGGGAGGGGTGGATTTGGTTGGTAATGTATTGACAACTTCACTTGGCTTTGTTCCATTTTGCTTTTCTCCCTGCTGATACTTCCAAAAGCTTTGAGGGTTGTTGGTTATTTCTGTACAGTAGCCTTAAATGTAAATATGAAGGGGGGCGGGAATATCATCAAATAGCTGATAAAAGCATTCCTTTCATCCACTTCCTCTATCTTATGCCACAGTTAATGTGACAGTAGTAGAAGGCAGAGCGGTTAGCTGCCTTGCCATAAGAAGTTTCTGCTTGAAATGCCCTTTGTTTTCCATTTTGATTATATTCACAAGAAAGAGGCAGATATATATCTTTCCCACAACCTTACTGAATAAGGAAAAAAAAAAGGAGAGAAGAAGAAAAAGGTTGGTCATATTACATACCTATTAAAATTAATATTTTAGATTTAAGTGGATTCCACTCAGGACTTCCAAGTATGATTGGACCATTTGTTCACTGCTAATGGAACCCAGTTGAGAGGATGGATGGGGTCTGATCTAGCCTCTGTTTCCTTCACTAAGCCGTGGGCCTTGGGGCAGGACTGGGTCCTTAGGAGTTAGTGGAACCTTTTACTGATTCTCATAAAGGCTTGTATGGGCTAGCAGCAGCCCTTCATTTACTTCTCTGCAGTTTTTCAAGACCAAAGTTCCAGTTACTCTTAGTGGTTGGATTCCTCATATCTCCATCTGCGTAGGTATGTTTTTCAGCAGTCAGTGTACATTTTATTGGCAAATAGGAAGCTGTTTCATAGTTTACAGTTTGATTCCATTCCATTTCAGTTTTTTTTCCTGTATTTTCCATTATTTCTTTGTTCAGTGAACTCCAAAATCCTTTCGGTTTATCACACAGATAAATTTATCAGCATCAATTTATCGCACAAATACTGTGTAATAAAGTATCCAAGTTGCAGAGTAAGGAGCGTTCTAGCCTACTAGGAGCCGAGGTAAATGGGCAGTGAAGTCGAACAGTGTAAGTTCCCCCTGATGTCACCGTAGATAATACTTACATATATTTCCCTCGCCTACACACTGTATTTCTTTTGTTCTACCTTTCCATGAAGTTGAAGGACCACAGACATGTAGGTTTAACTGAGCTCTTAATTTTCTACATTGTTCCCTTAAGGAAATGAAAGCCTTCTTTTCTGAAAAGAAAAAGTAGTACTTGTTTATAGTAATCAGGGACCTGAAATGATTGTTTCAGTTAAAATCACTAGTTTAATATTTTAATTATAACATCAAGGTATCTTGATGTTATAATTTTTGAATGTAAGTGACTTTAGAGATAGTATAATTGATCCTTTTATTTAAAGATGAGGCAAGTGAGAATCAGAGATTAAGTACTTCACCCAAACCTCACTTCTAGCTAATAGAGAACCCAAGACAACTCATACTCCAGTATAAGTTTGTTTCCATTATGATTTGCTTCCCCTAACAGTTACAGAGTGGTGAGATAGGAGAAAGGAAAGAAAGTCAATGGAAGTATAAGGGAAGAAAATAGGTGGGAATGGTTAAGAGCAGCCTTAAAAATCCTCTGACTGGTGCCATGGTTTGAACGTGACATGTGACTGGGAAGACGTGACCCACCACACAGTGATTCTTATTTGAAATAAACAGACATCTTTTCTATAACTGAACTCAGTTTTCGTATACTCAATCAGTAACATTTCTGTTTTAGTGGTCTTCTTTATGTAATAACTGACTGACTACCTACTGTATTCAAGGCATGGTAGCATATAAACTACGCTAATAAGATAAAATAAAACAGAAGAAAAATGGTTATAAGAAACAAAGATTGCACTCTACCTAGTCTAGATAATTGTTTGAGTCACAGGCCCCTTTGGGAAACTATAAATCCTCCCCCCCACCCCCAAAATACACATTTACATAAAGTTTTGCACATGGTTATGGGTCTCCTGAAGCCTGTCCTTAAGAACCCATGACTGTCAGGTTAAAAACCTGCTTAACAGTGTACGTTTGATTTTCAACTATCTGTTTATTGTCAGAATGTAACTGGAAACAGAGAAACGGTCATTAATTCACTGCTGTAAAATTCTGAGTAGAATAGCTAGTAAGGGATTGATTTTTAATTTTTGTCTTTAACTGTTTTTAAAGACTGTTAATGAATTAGGATATTTGCAAGGGATGCTTTAACTCTAATGAGGGAAAACCCTACACATTCATTTTATTGGAAATCTTACAATTTTCTAGTTGATAGATGTTTAGATTTACTAAAGAAGGTAAGTTTCCTATTGCCTCAGGCTACTGTTACATCAGATGAGCAGATCTGTATTTTAATCTGAGTATCTAATTAAGTAGATGGCTTAAGTTGTCTCTTTTACCTTCAGAGTTTATACATTTCCACCTTATTCACAGGCATATATTGTTTTCTTCCCGCAGTAAATGGAGTTCCTTGGCCTCAGGAGGCAACACGACGAAATAGCCATACCTTTAACTGCAGGATGCTAATTCACCCTCCAGATGAGCCAGGCACGGAGAACCAAGAAGCTTGCCAGCGGTATGAAGTAATGCAGTGTTTCACTGTGTCCCAGCCAAAATCAATCCAAGAGGATGGAGAAGGTAAAGCAAAAGGTCATTTTTAAGTGTTTGATTGCTTTTTCTATGGCTTAAGGGTAATTGAATATAAACTGTCTACTTCTGATGGCATTTTTGATTACTCTACTACACATCATAATGGCTCTTCAACTTGCCATGCATTTCTTTTAATTTTTAAGCCAAAAACAATTGCTAATGTCTAGAATTATCCCTTTAATATACCCCCAAATTCTCAGTTTTGAGCTGTCATTCCCACTAAAAATGTCAAATTCAAACCAACTTGTTGCCTAGAAATAAGAGATGTAATGAACTGCTGCCAGTTAGACAGGGAGCAGATGCAGCAGGCTGCTGAAGAGCTCTGAATTTTAGGAAGTGTTAATTATAGAATATAGAGAATGTGAGAGATTAGAGTTGGCATTATTAAGGCCATACAAAGTAATTTATAAGAAGCATATAAACAGATGAAAACATATAACTGAAGCTCTAATATGACTATGGTATCGACATGGATATCGTTTAAAATGTGACAGTGGATGAGTTTTCGATGTAAACTTAGACTGAGCTAAGTTTCAGAACACCCACAAATTGGGAACTGAAGGACCAGGGTAGGTAGTAGATGAATAAAGGGCAATGTGTTAGTGGGATTCACCAGGGAATGGATGGCAGAATCAGCTGGGCACTTTTACAAAATACACATGCCAGGTCTTTTTCTTATATGATTAAAGTTTATCTTTAGCTGTATGATATTGTGTGTGGCACCCTCAAAACAAAATTTGGGAATGGGACTTTAAAAAAATTGGATATCCTAAAAACAAAGTCTTCTGTCAAGTGTAAGATAATGCTTCTCCAGAAATAGTTAAATGTTGTTTTTCTCATATGATAATTATTATCTGCACTGTTTGTAAGAAGAACTACTGATGAGTATAGAAAATGAACTGTGAAACTGTATTTTTTAAAAAAACCTCTGTGTTGCTTAAATCTAACCCAAACTTCTTCTAGTTGTTATCTTGCAAGTACGTGAGATATACCAGTCTCCTCTAGTTTAATTTATGCTGACTAGATCTCTACCTAAAGCTACCAGTTTGGGGCTGCTAGCAATTTTTTTTCTGATACCCTATTAGATCAGAGTGATTCCAATATTATGTCAGGTCCTATAACATTGTTTTTATAAAAACCGTTAATGGCAAGTGATGGATATAAATCATTTTCTTCCCCCTTTTCTTCAATTTGTCTTTCTTATTTTGGGTAGATTTCCAGTCATGTTTGATTTGCATTGCGCGGCGATTACCTCGGCCTCCAGCTATTACGGGTGTAGAATCCTTTATGACCAAGCAAGATACTACAGGTACTAACTGTAAAGTTCAGAATATTCCATAAGTATTAATAATGTGACTATGCCTGTAAAACTAATTATCTCCAAAATGTTGTGTCCTTTATTCCTGTGATATTTGGCTTCTGCTTACTAGTCTCCTACAGAAAACATTTTAAACAGTCGTCTTGATATTGTATGTTTTAGATACTATAATCATTATCATGGGCAGGATGCTAGGGAGAACAATTTTTTATGACTCTTCATAATCATAAAATATTTAAGAAATTTGACAGTGTAGATATAAATATATTTATAAATGAATATGAATATGGCAGTTATAATATTATACCTAAATGTATCTGGATTTTTCTTTTTTCCTTTAATCTTTTTCTTTAAATTTATTCGACACATATTAATTGAGTGCCTAGAAGTGTCTGTCACTATGTGATTGCTCAGGGTATGCCTGGTTGAGCTAAAAAGCAAAGATGTAATTTCATACTGTGAAATGTTTTATGATGGAAAAGGTGTGAGATGGTGTAAGGGAAGCTAGTAAGAGAGGTCCTGTTTTAAAACTAATTGGTCAGAGAAGCCCTTGAACCCTGAAGGAGGAGGTGGTGTTGGCCTTGGAAAGTATGGTTGTTGGGGGGTGGGCAGTGAGGAAGCGTCATGGTGCCAGAATGAGTGCTCCTGGGTGAGGAAGCAGAGCAGCAAAAGCCCTGAGACTGGTAGGATGGAGACGTCTGTTACAAGAACTGAAAAAGGGAGTAGAGCCACAAAGTGAGTAATGGTGAGAGTGCCTGACAATAAGGCCTCGTTTGTAAAGGCCTGCTTCAGATTTGATTTTAAGCAACAGTAAATTCTTCTTGTTCTCTATAATTTACAAAGTATTTTTATATATTATTTAATTTTATCTTTACTTTTACACATAAGATTTTCATAACTTCATTTACATCAGCTACATATGTATCACTCAATTCTCTAATTTTAAAATAGAGATACTAGAGGTATTTTTTTTAGCAGTCTGAGATTAAAAAAATAATTTCTACTGAATCTTATTCTCCATGAAAGTTTAGTTTTAGTGTACATTTTGACCTTACTGTTGTTTATAAGATCCTGCCGCGTTACTAATTAATATTTTTATTTCCAGAAAGCTAATATTCCTGTGTTGGATGCTTTGTTTTTGTGTTTTAGATAAGCTCTCAATTTCTCTTGCTAAAGAGCAGGCAGGGATAAATTAGCACAGAGAGTAGAAAATGGTAAAGAGGACGTCTAGGAACATGGAGAGACAGCATCTAAGGGTGGTCATTTTCAGTTACCGTACCTTTCTTCATCCGCTTTTTTAAGTCTGCCCTGTTCGTGTTCCTTTCCATTTTCCACTAATGAGCAGCACTAAAAAAATTTAATAAACCCTTATTGAAAACCAAATGTATTTTTGCATGGAGGAAAAATAGGATCCACTGAAAAATAAAACTGGTCTTTTGAGTCAATAATTGGTTAATATAAAAAGAAATGCAAACAAGGGCTTTATGAGATAGCAGAAAGAAAGCCTGCTGTAAAAGGTGATGGTCAGGCCACGGAATGAATGTGGGGGACAAGGGAAGCTTAAAAGTTATGAGGATAATTTAGGAAGAAAGGATTTAGCTTTTCCTCATACTGCATTTCTGTAAATTGAATCCTAATTTGGACTGTTTTAAAGGAAAAATATTTTCACTGGTAGATTTGTTTCTAACCAAGGACCCAGCATTAAAATCTTAGCTGTATCTAAAATACACATGAAATTATGTGTGTGTGTGTGTGTGTGTGTGTGTGTATATGTGTGTGTATATATATATATATATATATGTATATGTATGTATATCCCCATAGGAGAAAAGCCCTGGCAGTCTGCGCCATAAAGATTACAGCCTAGGAAACCCTATGGGGCAACTCTGCTTTGTTACCTTGGGTTGCTATGAGTCAGAATCGACTGTATGACACCTAACAACAACAACATGTCATAAAATAATTGTAGAACTAGGGGGAGCCTCAGAGATTGCAGAAGCCAGCCTACTCATTTAACAAATTAAGGAATGGTGACTTGACCAAGATCATGTTGCTAATTGCTGAGAACTGAAATCTTTAGACCGTAATATAGAACTTTTCTTTTAAGTTGCATTGCCTTTCACCAGAGCACTATTAAACAGGCATCACTGTACTGTACACACTTATTATATAAAAGACACTAGAGAAATGTAAAGTATACTTAAAGTATAAAAGTAACATTTTATTCTGTCACAGAATTGATTTAGTGAAAAATATGTAGGGTAGCTGTAATAAATATTAAACATTTAATTTCTTAAATTTTAGTAGTATTTTTTAACTCTACACAGAATGGCCCATGTTCTTAAAAAAAGAAAAATATCTTCTACCAGGAAATGTTGAACAGTGGTTTTTGCTAGTTTGTTTATTTGTTTGGTTGGTTACACTCGCCTGTAGCCAGCCGGGGGTATTCTACATCAGCCCATTCATGATTCTTTTCTACATAGTCATTGCATTACCTGACCAGTTGGTGCCATTGCTGATAATTTAATCACTTTTCTCCTCTCCAGTTCCAGACTCTCTTGTTCTCTTGTGGGCCAGCAATGACATGAACATGTAAATGGACGGACACACACATACACAACCTCCCTATGATGAGTATTTTCACATGTGAAAGATTATGTAACAATGGAATCCCTGTTACAACCAACTCTTGATCTCTAACAACATTAAATAATTAAAAACTTCTTAGAAAATCCAAAATTGTCTATAGTTTCAGTCAGTGTTCACCTGGCTTTCCCCAGACTGTTCTTAAATAACAAAATCCCTTCTTTGAGTTTCAGTTTTTTTGCTTTACTGTCTACATTTATACCAAGACTTGGGCACCAACCTGACCAGACTGGGGTACATCAGATTCAGGACCCTAACTAAGTTAAAGAGGTCTAAGGAATACTTTATTTTGAAACCCGAGTAACATATATAAGGAAGGGATTAGTTAAAATATGGAGGCATAAACTAGTATGATAGATTTGAATAGTTGTGTGAGAAAAGGGAAAATACGGAAAAGACACAATTAGTCTCTTCACAGAAGAGAAAACATGAGTGCTATATAAACATGAAAAACAACTTCGTTAATAATTAGGAAAATATAAGTTTAGACCACAATGAGATACCGTTTTTCACCTATTAATTAGAAAAAAATAAAGAAGCCTGACAATACCAAGTGATGTTGAATACCAGTGAGAATGGTGAATTAACAGTAACTCTTAATTAACTGCGGTGAGAGCATAGGGTAGTACAAGTCTCTGGAAAAGTTTAATATTATAAATTGGTTAATATAAAAAGAAAAGAATGTTGAACATTCACATAACATACAACCAAACATTCTTGCTACTCAGTATATACCTTTGAGAAACTCTCACGCACATGCACAGGGGAAGATGTTCACGGCATTGATGGTGTAGAAACGGGAACAATCTAGATGCCCACTGACAGGAAAATGTAAAGGCCAGGGGATCGGACAAAGGAGTGTACATGTAACAAAATGGTATTTGTTAACTTTCAAGTTCTGAAGTTGGGTGGTAGGTTTGCAGGTTTTCATTTTATTGTAATTCTTAATTTACATACATCCTACCTGTATTATTTTGTGTCAGTATAGGATTGTAAAACAAAACATCTGATTAATCAAAAACTGGATTTATTAGTCCCTGATTAACTGAAGAATAACTTACCAGAATTCTATAGAAGCTATTTAGGAAATTTGTTCAAATATGATAACAGTAGCAAACCACCACTAAATTTTATAAAGCATATGTTCAATCTGCATAATGCCTCACAAATCTTAACTTACTGTTTCTGATTTGACTTTTGTTGGCTTCAGTCTTTAGTCTTTAAATAGAATACTGCCTACAGCCCAAGTGGAGGCAGAAAGGAAAAGGCTTGCTTACTTTCTCATAATCAGTTCACTTAGTTATTGAAAATTAATGTAAACCAAAACAATATATTTTATTTCTGCCTCTCCTTCCCCAGTAAAGATTAGTCAGCAGTATATAGAGAGCAGGATCCAAAGAGCAAGTCAGAGGAGTTTAACTTGCATTAGTCCCAGCAGCTTCAGGTCTTTATGGTATGACTTTAATATTTGACTAGAATTGAATTTTAGAATATGACATACTAGTATGTAACACAGTCTAAAACCAGAACAATTCTTTATTATCATGTCACTGATAGACTCCATTACCAAATATAATAAACATTAATAGTGCTTTTTTAATGCTTCTGTCCATTAAGCATTTTGGGGGGGGGGGAATATTTCTCAGATGCATTAGTTAGTTTTGAAATATGGATGATATATATCAAGAGGCTGTCATAAATGTAAACTGCCATTCTTTTTATAGGTAAAATCATCTCTATTGATACTAGTTCCCTGAGAGCTGCTGGCAGGACCGGCTGGGAAGATTTAGTGAGAAAGTGCATTTATGCTTTTTTCCAACCTCAGGGCAGAGAGCCATCATATGCCAGACAACTGTTTCAAGAAGGTAAAGTTTTTCTCTTGCAATTATTTTCATTAAGCTTGCTCTTATTGAGTCGTTTATATAGAACTTATAGCTTGGTAAGTATTTTCTCCAAATTATAGTTTTTGCAATTATCAGTTGTAGGAAAGGAAGAAATGGGTAAGCAAAGTAATTCATGAGTGGATCCTGAAATTTGGGATGCACATTCTAAAGAACGGGATGTCATGTGGTGGTCATTCATTCATTCAAAAGACATATATCAAGTTCCTAACATACATAGAACACTGTGTAAGATGCCACGGATATAGTAGGTTTCTGCCCTCAAGGAGCTCATTATAGGAGAATGTATGACCAACTCTAAAGATCACAGTGACATGGGCTATAATAGAGTTGTAACCAAAGAAGAAAAAAATTAATTTTGACTTGGAGAATCAGGGACAGCTTCAGAAAGGAAGTGATATTTTTGTCTGGCTTTTGAAGATCATTCCAGCAGAACAAGCATGTTAAGGGGCCTCTGGATACCCTGAGGTCTCTATTCTCCATGCTTACATTGTGACTGTTGCAGCACTTGCATCTCCTGATTCAGATTGAAGTTTCAAGTCAAAGTGTATGTTTTGGGAAATTATCAATTAATATTTAAAGAATTTTTGTGTCTTAGTAACTACTATGGGAATATAAAACAGATGTTTTCTCTGCCCTTAAGGAGCTACATACAGTATTAAAGGAAGGGTAGGAAAAATTATTTGAGGATTGAGATCTGAAAGTTTACAGACTCAGAGATAAAGGAAATTGGATGTACTTTAAAAATACTGTCATGTAGGTTCCTGGGTGGGGCAAATGGTTTGCGTTGGGCTGATAACCAAAAACTTCACTGTTTAAACCCACCCAGCAGCACTGCAGAAGAGAAGGCCTGGAGATCTGCTTCAATAAAGACTACAGCCAAGAAAACCCTATGGAGCAGTTCTATTCTGTAACACATGCATGGTGGCTATGAGTTGGAGTCGACTCGATGACACAGAACAAAAATAGCATAATAAATATAAAGTCTTCAGAGCAATACCCAACACATAGAATATAAGCCAAAAAAATTATATTGTCATATAATTATGGTAGCCTAATACTCTTCTTCCAATGTAATCTGTTCTCTAAATAGGTAGTTTCTTTGGTAAGGGCCTCTTTCTATGGCTATTCCTTAAAAACAATTTTAAAAAATTTTTGTATTATTCCATCACCCTTCTTAATTTTAACAGTTTTTCATAACATTAGATTTCCTAAGTTTAAAGGTGATTTTTCATTATTAATTACATTTTAGGTCATCTACTTCCTAGTGGTATGTGGAGGAAGTAGCTTAATTTTTTTTTCAGGAAGCCATTTATATAAATCTCACTAGAAGTCTGGTTACTTCTGGAACAGCCTCCTACAGACTAGTGATTCTCCACTGGGCCTCTTACAGACTGATGCTGTCCCCAAAGATGCTATTTCAGTGGGTAGAACCAATAATCTGTATTTTTGAAAAGTCCCCTAGGTGATCCTGAAGTGCAACCAGGTTTGGAAACCAGTACAATAAAAAACTAATACTATCCACTGGGTACAAACTTTGTGACTCCCTCTACCAGGAGTGGCATTTGACTTGTGCTTAGGTTTGGGACTCTGTCTCCATTCCCTGCCTAAAGTGCTGAAGTATATGGTATTCTGATTTTCACCTTAACTTTATTAGGTGGACCTTCCATGCCTTTACTTAGAAAACTTTTAATTGTATTTGCCTATAATTTATATACATTTCCACCAAAGGCAAAGCAGGTCTAGATTTATTGTCTTATTTTTCAAATGATAGGCTCCCCATAGATGTGATTGAGCCACAGCTTAAGGTATGTGTTCCTAAACACAGTTCTCCATAAAATAAAGTGTAAAGAAATAAATACTAAGTATAATCCAATACTTCTTCCTCCTTAGTCATTCCTAATGTCTTCTCCTTTTACTTTCTTTTTTAAATTCCTCAATAGAAATAACTTGTATTTTTCTCAGAATTAAGTTGTCCAAAGCACGCGTGACTCTGACTCTAGTGTTTTGGAAGTTCTGGACAACTTGTCAAACAGTTTTCATGGACTGAGTGCATGTTTTTCCGATATTTTATATTCAGCAGTATCTAACCTGATAAGAAGCATAAGAATCACCTGTTAAAAACGTTGACCTGCTGGATTAAAATCTCAGGGTATCTGTGTTTTTAACAAAGGTAATGCCTAAGTACACTGAAACCTGAGAACCACTGGTCTAATCTGTCAAGAATGGAAGAGGTACAATTTTCATTTGCAATTTCCATGCCATCTCTTCACTTAGACACACCATGGAAAGGGTGAAACAAATTATGCCATTATGTCTTTGGTTTTGTGTAAAACTTCACAACGATTGATATATAGGCAAGAAAAAAATTGTCCTCCATCTGTCTTCTTTTTTTCCTGCTCATTAACTTTTTCTTTGAAGGCAAGTGTGTATAGTTTGGAAAAGGCTCCCAGGTTCTATTTAGTTCTGAGCCATTACTTAAAAGAAAGGTCCAGGTTACAGTGTCTCCCAAAGGTCCCTGATAAGATTCATCTGAGGCAGTTGTTAAACCAAATCCCTGGACCCCACCCTACACCACTGAATCAATCTATAATCTAAGATGGTTTTCTTATCCGGGAAGTTTGGAAAACGTAAGCCTAGATTTCACAAAATATTAATAGCTATAACTAAGAAATGATGTTTCGTGCTCAGTTAAGTTTGGGAAATGCTTCATTCTCTCACTTTTGGGGATTTGTAAGATATATTAGGTATATAATTTCCTGGGAAGTTCTACATTTAAGATACCTGTTTAACATTGTTACCCAGATTTATTTTCCACAGAATACTTTTTCCTGTAACACATCTGTCAGCAGTTAGGGAGAGTAATAGTCATGGGAAATGTTGAGCTAGATAGCCTAGAAAAGTTTTATGAAAGTTGTATCAGCTATTAACATTGAAATAATGGATCTTCATTTCTCATCTTTGAGAGATGTCCATGATGTATTGTTGTATTTTAAAAGTAGGCTAAGAAAGTACAGTATATATAGCATGAGCTCACTCTTGTATATCTGTTTATCCAGCTAGGTTAACAAAATGTTAGCAGTGGTTATCTCTGAGCGATGGGATTACAAATAACTTTATCCTCACTTGTTCTTTGTTCATTTCTGTATTATCTTAACTTTCATAGTGAGTGTGTAATATTTTTATAATCACAAAATAAAGCTGTTTTCATTTTTTAAAATACATTAACAAGATAAAAGTTGGAAGGGGTTTGTAGTATCAAAAAGTTTAGAAGCATTGCTATAACACATAAGTACCCATATATGATGATTAACCAGAATGTTCTTTGAGACTTGTGTAATGTGGTTAATTCCATGGCCCAACAACAGAATTGACTGAAAACCTTTTTGTGTCAAACCCTGTTGAAAATATTTAAAATACGAGTTTACTTTCCTCTTTTCAAAATTTTGTTATACTGAATGGTGTTTACCCATTAGTGATTGAAAATCTGTAGAGCATCTAGGGGTCATGTTTTGTTTTGTTTTTTGTTTACCTTAATACCGGTTTTGTTTTTGTTTGTTTTTTTTTTAATTGCATTCTTGCTGCATATACAGGTTTCCCCCACTATCTGAAAGTAGAACTTTCCTATGAAACTTTCATAAGCCAAAATGGCATAAAGCAAAGAAGTAATTGCCATTAATTTTTATGGGAAAATTTTTTGAGCGTTCCTAGACTCAAAAAATAACCTACCGAATTATACCAAATAACACATAAAACCTAAAATAACACTAACACATAGTAAAAGCAAGAATGATATGATAAATACACAGCCTGTATAAAGTAGAAATAATGTATGTACAGCGTAGTTTCACTTACCAGAATCAGGAAGACGGTGAGCACCCTGGAAGGCTGAGAGGTGGTGGTAGTGATGATGGTAGCCCAGGTAGCCTAGCGGACGATGGTACATGGGGGCTGGGTTTAAGGGGCACTCTGCTGCTCAGGTGCACGCTGCCTCTTTAACAGCTCGCTGCAAAAGAAACGCTGAAGACTATTTCCGCTTTTCACCTTTTTTTCGTAAAAGCGAAAATCCTCTTCAGATTCCTTTCGGTTATTAAGAATAGGTATTAATGTAGATCTTCCATAAAAGCAAAGTAGCATAAAGGGAACTTACGAAAAGTGGGGGATACTTGTACTAGAGAAATACCAAAAAGAAAAAAATCTCTACCAGCATTCACGCACAGTGCCCCCAGCACACGTTTTATACCCGCCCATTGAGTAGACATCAGAAAGGCTTGCTTGTTTGAAGTTCTTTCACCACCAAATTGGGAGGGGCCAAAACCCCAAATAGTTCTACTTCTACAGCTGCTGTGACCAGAGAAAACTTAATGTTTCCTGTTCTAGCTCTGTTGAGGTCCATTCTGGGAAAAACAGAAGAACAGTTGTCATATTAAAGGTTCTTTGGAGGGTTTCCGTGGTGCCAGTAATACTCCTTCAATAATACCCTGCCCCCAAGTATTCTAAGCATTTTAGATAATGGTCACAGGAGTCAGAGATCAAAATATTGGCTTTATGGCTGGCAAAACTAGATTAAAAAACAAGGACAGGACCTGTGATCAGACTGGTATTCCAGATAGTTTGGTCCAGACCTAAACCTTGAAACCCACGTATGGGGAAAATTTGGTGTGCAGAGCAAGTGTTTATTGAACCATCTGTGTAAAGAATTGTGGCTGCCCTACTCAGGTCTTCATTCAGAGTATTAGTGATGTACAAGGTTGAAACTATTGATGTAAGTGATGCCTGGAAATTTTACTGAATGTGTATGACTCAGGACATATGTACTTTGGAAGCTGTTTATTTATTGTTTGTCTTTTGGTTTTGTGTGTGTGTGTATGTGTGTTTCTTCAGAAACTATTCATTTAGTTAACTGGAGAATCTTACTCTAATTAATTGAAGTTTTACAATATTTAATATAGCCTATTCCTAATTTCAAAGAATTACTGTGCAAATTATAATGAACTAATAAGTCTTATTCCACATATAGTCACCCAAAATAAATAATCTACCTTTAAAACTTAAGGTGTGATAATTTCCTTGTATTAAACAAATAGGAGTTCCCCAGTTTGGGATGTTTTTATTAATTTTGATGTATTCCTACAAATTAGGCAGCATAATTACCAAAGGATTATTGGTGTTTCTGTAATCCTCATGAAATATCTTGATGTCCCCAGGTTAGCCTGAGTTTCTAGTTATTTCTGTCTGTAGGGCTTCTCAGTAAATAAGAAATTTCTCTCCATTAATTTCCATTACAAAATTAAGCCTATATTACTGCAAGAGCAAAAATACAGATTGATATGTAATGTAAATATTGAGAACATAACTAAGATTTTAAATCTGTCCTTTAAAGAAAAGTTATGGAAGTTGATCACACATCAGTATTAACCTATTTAAATGAGATTCAGGTTGAGGATCAATCAACAAGTTTGTACCGGGTGATTTTCTATGCAAAGCATTGTGCAAAATTCAACGGAGAGTACAAAACAAGAATGGGACACAGTATTAGCCCTTAAGGTTATTCTAGCTGAAGAAGAAAAATAAGTGTGTAAAAATATATTTTCCTATTCAAAGGGATATAATAGAAATGTTTAGGAAGGAATGGGAGACAAGGTTGGAAATGCAAGTTGAAGGTAGATTGTATAGAGCTGTGCTGTCCAGTGTACACGATAGTCACTAGCCATGTGGGGTTTTCCAGCAGAATAAGTGAGTGTTTTCCAGCAGAATAAGGAGATCCTGAAGAACAATAAACAGTAGTGAGGAAATGGGTAAAACAGTAAAAGCAAAGTAGCATGAAATAATTGTCTGTCTTCTCTGACCCTTTATGTATCTGTAGCTTTATCATCCCAGGTTAATAATTTATTTTAAAATGCCATTTTTCATTGTAGTTGTATTTTCCAGAATATATTGTTAAAAATATATTAATAGTTGGGATTGTTAATATTTTTCAGATTTTACTATGGCCAACACTCATATCCTTTCCACAAAATTACCAGTTTCAATTAAAGAGTGTTTTTCATCATTTGCTATTTAATTAGATACTAAATTTCCCCATGTGCTATATTGGGAAAGTGTGCCAGTGATTGAGCTGAAGTTGCTAGATGGGTTAGGAATGCAGTTGGGTGGGTATAAGTCTTAATCCTTTCAATTAAGTTTATATCCTAGGTTTGGCACTTAGGCAGATTTATGTATGCTGTAGATTTACAATACACTGTCTTCAGTTGAACTATGTACCTAAGACAGTAAAATAGAGCATTTCTTCTCTTTTATGTCCACTAATATGTAGCTTCAAAATTATTTATTAATCAGTCACTTCAAGTATCTTTCATGTCTTTCAGAATGTAATTGAAGCCCTTTGTGAAATGTCTTTGAAAAAATAGAACTAACATTTATTATAGGCTAAATTAGAATAGTCATTTTTCATAGTAATATTCATGTTTCAGTGGATATGATTTTAACCTTGTTATAACTGAATCTACCTATTAAATCTTTCTTAAAATAGAATTCTATTGTATTACTAAAACATCAGTAATATTACTTAGTAGTCTGATATAGCCTTTACATATTTAATAAACACTTACTCTAAGTGGTTAGAATTTTGTCTGCTGTTAATAAAGCTTTAAGACCAAAGTAAATTATATTGTTTATACAGTGAATTGACTGCCCTACCCTAGTTTTTCTTCTTTATATTAGTAATCATTGGCTTTATCTTAATTTTCTTATTAACTTTAAAAATTCAAACATCAGAAATAATACATATATATACATCTATATGAATCTAATAATTTGGATTTTAGCTAAGGCATTCTTTAAACTAATCAAAACTTTTTATAAAACCATTTCTAAGATAGTCAGCCAGCAAAAGAAAAAAAAAATGTTAGAGAGAATACTGAAAGAGGGGACCAGAGTACTTCTGGTATTTTTAGTGGGTAGTTAATAAATTTGAAGAGCTGCCCCACGACAGAGAGAGAGAGTAAGGTTAATATTTTCCCTGCTTGGGGTTTCTTCATAATCATAACTCATGTGAGGAGGCACGCATTCAAGTAGGACTAAATTAAAATCTGTCATCAAGCGGTATATTTCAACTGGAATCATTTTTCCCCCTCAAATATCTACTTTGTCTGAACTGTTTCTTATTTTGAGTCTGAGCAGTTGGGGGTGGGGGTGGGGGGTATTTAGAATGAGGTTCTAGGTAGAAATAATGCCTGGTAACTCTCCTTTGCCCAAAGAACAAGTGTCAGAATTTTAACTAGGTTTCTTTTTTGTTTGAAACAGTGATGACTCGTGGCACTGCCTCCAGCCCATCCTATAGATTCATATTGAATGATGGAACAATGCTTAGCGCCCACACCAAGTGTAAACTTTGCTACCCTCAAACTCCAGACATGCAACCTTTCATCATGGGAATTCATATCATCGACAGGTACTACTTATTTGGAGAGCTTCATATGAAGTAGATCAGTTCACATATCTCTTCTTAGAAAACAATTTTTATACTTTTGATGGCTAAAAAGCAGAAATTCTAAATCAGGCATAAAGCTGGTGTGATGAGTTTGTTTATAGTTTTGTTGCTTTACCGTATCTTTGAAGTTCACAAAGGGAGACAGGAAAGGTGAGGCTGAAAATATGTGTTGTAAGGGGGGTAAAACCAAAAAGGTGGCTAAAAATTCACAACTTTCTATCTATGAACTTATAGTCTTATCATAGAGTTCAGAGTTTGTTAACATTGTCATGACTTTGATTTTAAGAAGTGCTTTACTTTCATTAGGGCAAATTCGATGACTCCTGATTTCAAGTTGACAGTTTCTCACAGAAACTACAAATCCTTAAACTGTCAACTTGAGATTTTTTAATGTCATGGCCTCTGTTTTCTAAACATTTCTAAGTATGTTTTACTGTGGTGTACATGGCAAATCCATGGAACTATTCTTCTATTAAGTTTTCAGAATCCTGTATTTAAAACTATTTAAAATTTAGCATTAAACAAAAGCCAAGACATTTTCCCTCACTTCATCTTTTTCTTATCTGATGTATTTGCTTACTGGACCATGATAATACCAGTCACAAATCTGTTGTCATAGCTATGGATTTGAGTAAAGAACTCAGTGAAAACCTGAATTCAGTATTCTATTTTCTTTCTACTGTTAATTTTTTTTTTCATATTGTGATTTCTCTTTCAAAACATCTGCTATGTCTGTATATCACCCTTTTTAATTTTCACATCAGTGACACAGTATTTTCCTTACCCAGTCTTCCTCTTTGGAGTTGAAATACTTAAAAACTGTAACAAGGGAGTCATGAAAAAGTGCTTTGTAAACAAAGATGTGGGACATCTTTCTTTCTACTAAAAATCTTATTGTAATGTTGATTATTTGTATTAAATTTAGGAAAGGTTAAGTGCACATACATATTGGATATTGGATTTTTTCCAAAGCTAAGAAAGATTTCTTTCCCATGTAACTAAAACCATTTCAAATTTGAGGGACCATAAGCACTATTTTCTATTAAATGGGAACAACTACTTCATAGCAGTACTAAACAGTCTGCTGTTTTTCCTTAATTAAAAGGATAAGAAGTTCTTTATTGGATAGTTTGCAGCATTAATGAGGTTAATGGTCTTGTTTTATAATATGCATCATAAAAAAAAGGTTTTAATGGAAACAAATGAAGATGTTTGACTCATGTCTTTTTCCCCCTAGGGAACACAGTGGGCTCTCTCCTCAAGATGATACTAATTCTGGAATGTCAATTCCCCGAGTAAACCCCTCGGTCAATCCTAGTATCTCTCCAGCTCACACTGTGGTCCGTTCATCCACATTGCCACCATCCAGCAGCAACATGGTATCCACCAGAGTAAACCGCCAACAGAGCTCAGACCTTCATAACAGCAGTCATAGTAATTCTAGCAACAGTCAAGGGAGTTTTGGATGCTCACCTGGAAATCAGATTGTAGCCAGTGTTGCCTTAAACCAGGGACAGGCCGGTTCTCAGAGCAGTAATCCCTCTTTAAACCTCAACAATTCTTCTATAGAAGGTACAGGAATAACCCTAGCACAGTTCATGTCTCCAAGGAGACAGGTTAGTTCTGGATTGGCAACCAGGCCTAGGAGGCCAAACAATTCGTTTTCGCCTAATATTCCACCATTGAGCTCCCCCGTTGGCATGACAAACAGTGCCTGTAATAATAGTAACCGATCTTATTCAAACATCCCAGTAACGTCTTTACAGGGTATGAATGAAGGACCCAATAACTCCGTCAGCTTCTCTGCCAGTTCTCCGGTCCTCAGGCAGATGAGCTCACAGAATTCACCTAGCAGATTAAATATACAGCCAACAAAAGCTGAGTCCAGAGACAACAAAGAGATTACATCCATTTTAAATGAAATGATTCAGTCTGACAACAGCTCTAGTGATGGCAAACCTCTGGATTCAGGGCTTCTGCATAACAATGATAGACTTTCAGATGGGGACAATAAATACTCTCAAACCAGTCACAAACTAGTGCAGCTTTTGACAACAACTGCAGAGCAGCAATTACGGCATGCTGATATAGACACCAGTTGTAAAGATGTACTGTCTTGCACGGGCACTTCCAGCTCTGCCTCTGGTAACTCTTCCAGCGGTTCTTGCCCCTCCTCTCATAGCTCACTGACAGAACGGCACAAAATTCTGCACCGGCTCTTACAGGAGGGTAGCCCCTCAGATATCACCACTTTGTCTGTCGAGCCAGATAAAAAGGACAATGCATCTACGTCTGTGTCAGTGACTGGACAGGTACAAGGGAACTCCAGTGTAAAACTAGAACTGGATACTTCAAAGAAGAAAGAGTCAAAAGACCATCAGCTCCTACGCTACCTTTTAGATAAAGATGAGAAAGATTTAAGATCAACTCCAAACCTGAGCCTGGATGATGTGAAGGTGAAAGTGGAAAAGAAAGAACAGATGGATCCTTGTAACACAAACCCAACCCCAGTGACCAAACCTGCCCCTGAGGAAGTTAAACTGGAGTCCCAGAGCCAGGTGGGTACTTCCTTGCTTCACAAAATGAACATACCTAGTTTTTTCTTTTTCATTTATTTTACTCCAGCCATAGACCAAATTTGGATGCAGGCTATGTTTTGTCCTATCTATTGGGCATACGCTAAGAGGTTTGTACCAGTAGTTGGAAAAATCACAGGATGCCCTCAAAGTTCTTTTTGGAATTTTGGAGGGCTACAATATTAATATAGCCCTCTAAGAATGTAGATTTTTCTTTCTTTCTATAAAATCAGAGTTCATGTCTTTGGATCTTTTAAAAAATACCATTCCCTGACTCCTTTCATATATCCCCAGTATTGAATCCAAATCTCTTGAAATAGAACCCAGGAATCTGTATTTCAAAGAAGCTCTACAAAAAACTGATGTGTAGTTAGGTTGGGAACCTCTCATGTAAAAGAAGTAGGAAAGACATATGGGGAGAACAAGGCTACCTAGCCTGGTTTGCTTTTTATTTCCTTTGAAGCATTTTTTAAGGCTGTTTTCCTTCATCTGATTCTAACTACCCGCAACCCTCATCAGGAAATGGGGACTTGAGTGTTTGGGGTAGTAAGGTATATAACATGTCCTGAAACAGAAGTAAATAAAATAAACCTTTCCATAGTTGTTATGGATTAGGAACCTCTATATTAGGCTGGGTTGGGGGTGTGGTGATAATTAATGAGCAGCTTCATTTATTGAATAATTGCTGTGGATTTTGAAAGAATCTAAGAAAAACAGAATATGGTCCCTTCCCTCTAGGAGTTTACGGTTTATTTAGAGACAAAATATAGACATTCATGAAATAGCTCAGAATGCATTTACAAAGACTCTCCATTGTGAAACAAGATGCATAGATCCTTCAGTTTCTTGAACTAACCTAATTTTCTGCCCTCATCTCACAAAACTCTCTCTCTTCCCTCAGTCATACTGTGTTCTAGGCACATGGAAGTTCTTGCCATTCCTGGGATAAGCCATGTCTCTTCTAAGCATCTTCTACCTTGCTCTTCTTTCTGTACCTGCTGAACTTCTACTCATCCGTCACAAACTAATGCAAGCATCATCTCTGTAAAGCCTTCCCCAGTAGCCCTAGTTAGATGTTTTCTTTCATCTCTACCCTTATAGTGCTTTGTTATCATCTCTATTTACTATTTGTAATTACACTGTTTTCTTTACACTGTGTGCTGTTAGAGGGTAAGGCTATGTCTCCTGTTTCTCGGTACAACTACTAATATTGTTCATTTTAAAGCTGAAAAACAGCTTTAAATAATAACTATATTAAACTCTGACTCTTTAAAATTAACTTCAAAAGCAACAGCTTTATAAAACAATGCCATTGTGAACATCCTGGTGCATCTGTTTTGGTTCACATGTGCACTCATTTCTGTGGGTTCATCCCTGGGAGTGGAATTACAGGATCATAAGATACGTGTATGTTCACCCTTAGTAGTAATGCCAGACAATTTTCCATAGCATGAGAATTCTTTATAGCTGTTCCATGTCTTTGCCAATACTTGGTATTGTCAGTCTTTTCAATTTTAGCCATTCTGGAGTGTCTGTAGTGCTATATGCAACAATATGTCTCAACCTCAACAGCATCATGTTAAGTGAAAGAAGGCAGACATTTAAAGAATACGTAATATGATTCTATTTATGCAGTCTAGAAGCAGAACTTTTAGTTGAATTAATGAAACCCAAACAGATGATATTACTGAATTGGAAATTTTCTATTAATGAATTATCTCATAAATTAATTATAGTAGAAGACTATAGTAGAAATAAAGGCCATTTTTCTTCTAGTCACAGCCCCATACAGATGTAGGGACTTCCTATCTTCTATAGAAGATCTGCTGCTTATACTATTAAATCCTTAAGTGGAAAGTGGCCTTTTTGAGATCTTTGAAGCTGATGTACTATTTATAAAAAAGTTTCCAATAGTATTTTAAATTATGAATAAAAGTTTATGTTGATGTAAATTTATTTTTCATTTCATCATAAAAGTAAGCCATTTTACAAAAATTATAAAAATATGACAGGAAAAATCACCCATAATGGCATCATCCTAACAGTACTCTTGACACTTCTTTCCAGTGCAGTCTTTTTCCTTTGCATAAATTTTACACCAAGATATATTAGATAAATACTAAGTGTCTGTTATCTTATATCCTGCAGTATATTATAAGCATCCAAAGTGTTTTTTCCAGTGGAATAGTTAAATCATGTAATTTCAGAGGTCCCAGTTGTTCTAATTATTTCTTCTCTCTTCGTTCTCTCATAGTCACACTTAATTCATAGAGTTTAAAGGAGCAACTTTTTTCTACATTGTTTCGGATGAAGTATGGAATATGTTTCCTCTAACTTGATTTCCACTTTTAGTTCACAGCTGACCTTGATCAGTTTGATCAGTTACTGCCCACGCTGGAGAAGGCAGCACAGCTGCCAGGCTTATGTGAAACAGACAGGATGGACAGTGCAGTTACGAGTGTCCCCATCAAATCGGAGATCCTGCCGACTTCACTTCAGTCCACCACTGCCAGACCCACTACCAGACTGAATAGTATGTGTTGGTACAAAACTTTGTTTTAAATGTTTAATGATGATGTGGAGTGGCAGTTTGTCTCTTATTATTTCACAGACCTTTGGTTTGTTAAGAGTGAATTATCTTTTCATTAACGCCACTATAAATAATATACATACATAATGCATATACATACATGCAGTATACATGCATTTAGATGTATGAATTTCACTCACTGTATATATTTGAAACTATAGCGTAACCTCTACCCTTTTGTAATTAATGTTAAGGTACAATTGATGTTAAGGTGAGCAGTTGTTGTTAAGATAAACAATTTTGTGTTCTTACCCAAAACATCCCATAGCAAGACTTTTAGAAATATAATAATTGGGTCAGATCATATTTCCCAAAATGTATTCCTTAAACATTAGTGCTATGAGTTGCAAAAAGAAAAGATTCTATAGTAAAATACGCTGGGCAAGTGTTCCATGGCCCATACATTCCCCTGTTTTTGAAGTTTCAATAGGCTTATGAAGGTACATTATAAAAGTTTTGAGATGTCCTGTGTTAAAGAAGCCGTTTTAGATTTCTTTAACCAGCAGTTCTCATACTTACTTGACTATATTTTCTTTTCTCAAGTAATACATGGTTCCCCACAGAACGAGTTTTCCATGGAGCACTGTTTAGCAGACAGTTTTAAAATAGATCATCGTTGTGCTAACCCAGTGCAGCATTCTCCTAATTAAGAGACACTTTGATAGTGTAATTCATGAAGCTAGAGCTGTAAAAACTTTTTCACCCATTAAATTTTGAAGTTGAAAAAAACAGTGATGATAATTCCACTGTGTAACCTTGAAACTAAAGGAAACTAACCAGCTAACTTTCGAATTTGGCTGGGTTCTTGACCTCAGTTCTGTCTCTCTTCTGATGGGATTAGTTGTGGGACTTCTTTTATTTCAGTCTTACTACAGCTTTTAACTGTCATGATCCAATTCCTCAATGTTTACCAAGATTTCCAGGCAGCTGGAGGGAAGAATCTTGAGTCCTCGCTGACATTTTTGGCAGCGGTTTTCCAGCTAATCAGACCACTGGATGAGGAGTCGGAGCCTAGGTTCAAGTCTCACATTCTCCATTTATTAGCAATGTGACTTCAAGCAAGTAAATTTTCTGGGCCTTATTTTCTTTATCTACATAAGAATTAGATGAAATGACATCAAAAGTTTCTTCTAATTGAAACTGCTCAGTTCCAGACTCTGGGATATCAGGCACAGGTCGGGAAACAGTAAGGTACGGACAGAGATGGGATAAAATGAAAGTCTGAATATTGATTGTTTTGATCCTGGGCCCCTTCCTCATCAGATGTGGGAGACTGGAGCTATTTTTTTCAGGATACTGACTGATCAGAAACCCCTTAACTCTGCCTTAAACTATTTTTACTCTGATACTAAAAGTGCTATACCAACATCCTTTTGGTTAATGCTTGCCTAATCTTTTTCTATCCCTTTATTTTTAGTCTTTCTATGCCTATATGTTTTATGATGTTCTTTTTTCTCATTTCAATGGGTGGATTAATCCATTTATATTTATTTGGTTTTTGGATGTGTTTAGCATCTTATCTTCAGTTTTTCATTTATTATGCTTGTTACTTCTCTTTTTCTCCTACCTTCTGTATTAACTTTTTTTAAATCTATTTTTTCCCTTCTAAACTTTTCATGTATTATAGTTATTTCATATATTATTTCTAAATCTAATAGTCTTTCAAAATAAGTTTTTGGGTTTTTTTGGGGGGGGAAGGATGAAAGATACTGAGAACTGCAGAGTTCAGAACAGTTATGTCTGAACACTCTCTTGTGACTCGTGTGTGTGTGGGGGGGGGCTTTTAATCTGTATTTTATCTTCAAATTTCACAACCTTTCATAGTAGATTTTATTAGCTACATCTTGTCCCATGTCTTTCTCTTTCTTTAATACGTTTGTTCTTTTGCTAGAGAATATGTGCAGATAAATTGTATCAGAAAGAGTTAAGAGGTGTTTGATTTTGTTCCCTCACATATCTGAAAATATATTTATTTTGCTCTCATACTTTAATGATGCTCTGGCGAGACAGAGAAATCTCAGTCCAAAATCATTTCCCTTCATAACTTTGAAAACTTTGCTCCATTATCTTAGCTTGTCCATTATTTGTGAGAAGAGATTATTTGGGAGAATCTGTTGGTTCACTTTTCCAGATAAAAACTGAATCTTCAACCACGTCCATTTGGCTCTTCAGTCCATCTGTTGCTGTCTGTTAATCATAACTATCATGTTTTAATTTCCAGAAATCATTTTTATTTTTCATAGGAGTCTATTACATTTTATGGATGTGATAGACTTTGTAATCTGTGTGATGCTATTTCTTATAAGTACTCTAGTATTCATCCATTTTCTGTACTAACCTTTTTTCTTCAGAGTTACTTTCTTTCTTTGTTAAACTTGCTTTCTTTCCTACTGTCTTTTCTTGAATGTTTGGTGAAATTTGACTCTGTGTCAGTCAAAAAGACCTAGAATAAACATGTTGGTAGCTAGTGTTTCCTTAGCTAAAGTGAGAAGCCCTTTTCCCCTGGCAGCGAATGTAGGTTCTGATTATAGAAACCCTGTTTCTCAGTTGTTGTGAGGGAGTGGGGCTTAGTAGTGGGGAAATCCCTCAGGGCAGCCCTAGCACCCACTCTGGAGATTCCCTGGGCAGAACTCCCACTCTGGAGTTATGTACTCACCACTTTAATCCCATGGGTAGGTGCCAGAGTCAGCTGCACTCAGCAGGGGCCTAGTGCAGCTGCTCAGTCATCCTTTAATTATCCCCCAATCGCCTGTGGCCTGTACCTTTACCCAGCTCGAATGACCACTGAGCTTGCCGTTGTTCTGGTGTCCTTCTGGGAAAACTCCCCCTTTTGGAAAATCTTCTCATTTTCCTGTTGAAAGTTCCTTACTTTAGCTGAGGTGTGAAAACATCAATTTGTTTCCATCTACATTTTATCTTTGAACTTTTGCATTTCCTAACCTGCTGCGATGGTGCTCATTTTGCCTTACCTTCTGCTACAGATTTATTTTTCCCCGGTTATTTCTTCCGTTATTTCAGTGATATTTTTGGAGATAAGAAAAAATATAGATGATATGTCTACCACAATGAACAAGAAAATCATCTTAGGTCTGTTTGCAGATGAGAAAAGTAAGATCCAGAGAATGAAAAGGAAAACAAACAGACAAAAACATGCCCAAAGTTATCCAGTTAGGATATGCATAACCGTGATTTAAATCTCAATATCCCTGGTTTCAAAACATGTTGTTTATGTGCACACAGATGCCATGTAGTGTGACCAAGTGATTTAAATAATTTTGTTAGAAATGTAGTACAGGAGCACATCCAGATGTTGTTGTTGTTAGGTGCAGTTGAGTCAGTTCCGACTCATTTGCGACCCTACGTGCAACAGAACAAACCACTGCCCGGTCCTGTGCTATCTTCACAGTTGTTGCTATGTTTGAGCCTATTCTTACAGCCACTGTATCAGTCCATCTCGTTGAGGGTCTTCCTCTTTTACATTGTTGCTCTACCTTAACCAAACATGATGTCCTCCATCAGTAAGTGCTTCAAGAACAGAACAAGGGGATACTGCATGGTTTAAAATCAGAAAAGGTATACATCAGGGTTGTATTCTTTCACCATAGTTACTGAATCTATATGCTGAGCAAATAATCCAAGAAGCTGGAGTGTATGAAGAAGAACAGGGCATCAGGATTGGAGGAAGACTCGTTAACAACCTGTGGTATGCAGATGACCCAGTTTTGCTAGCTGAAAGTGAAGAGAACTTGAAGCACTTACTGATGAACATCAAAGACTACAGCCTTTAGTATGGATTACACCTCAACATAAAGAAAAAAAAAAATCCTCACAACTGGACCAGTAAGCAACATCATGCTAAATGGAGAAAATATTGAAGTTGTCAAGGATCTCATTTCACTTGGATCCACAATCAGTACCCATGAAAGCAGCGGTCAAGAAATCAAACGACATATTGCATTGGGCAGAACTGCCTCTTGGTCAGAACCTCTGCTATGTCTTTTCACATCCCTATTCTTTGAGGGTGACTTTGACTTTTGAAATTTTCCAAAGCTGTTTGGAGCCAAGTTTATTGATCCAAAAAGAATAAGACTTTTTTTCCCCCAAAAAAAACTAAAATTAGGTGTAACTATGATAAGATTTATTTCCTCAAAGGACTTATAGCCTGGTTAAGAGAGTTCTAGAGGAATTCCAAAATATTTGAGCATTGACAACATCATTAGAGTAAGTTAATGACCTCCTGAGGTCGTTTTCATGTTTTGTGAACATATACATTCTGATATGATTATTTTTTAAATTCTATTAATTTGTAGTCATATTGAACATACTGTATAACTAAAAATAATGAGCTTCACATACAACATTTTTAGTACTCGAAAAGATCGCTTTTAATTTCCCTGTCTTTGAGGTTACATTTAGTGTGTGATTTTTCTGTTGAGATTTTTTTTTTTTTTTTTAGGTAATATATTCGCATGCTTCAACATTAAAAAAAAGATATGTAATGAAAAGTTTCCTTCACACTTCTGTGCCTAGCCACCCACTTCCCCTTCCCCTCCCTAGAAACAATGTTATTTATTCCTTCTTTACCTTCAAAAAATACACACACACACACATTTTTTTATACATATAGTGTCACACTATACACATTTACTGTTCTGTATCTTAATGATTTTCTTTTTTCTTAATGTTCTTTTGCTGTCATTCTATATCAGTATATAAAGAGCTTTATCTTTTTTTAATAACTACGTAGTATTTTTTTATAGTTATACCAAAATTTACTTAACCAATTGCCTATTGGTAGGCATCTTTTGCTATTACAGAGCTGTAATAAATAATCTTATATAGAGATAATTTACCATATATGAGAGTATATTTGAAAAATACATTTTGATTAAAATTGTTGGGTGAAAGCATAAATATTGCCGAATGGCCCTTCTTAGAGATTATACTCATACCCTCTAACCAGCGTCCTTACCAACACATGGAATTATGCACTTTGTCATCTTTGGTAATCTGATGGTTGTTTTATTGTTTTTTTTAAGTGTCTCAATGTAGTTTTAGCCTGCATTTTTCTTATTGTGAATTAGATTATTTTTTCAGTGATTTTGTGATCTGTTCATATTCTCTGACCACTTATCTATTGGATTACTGTTTTTTCTTACTGATTTATAGAAATTAGTCCTTTGTCCACATCATATTTTTAAAAATGAAAACCTGTAGCCACTGTGCACAGTTACTGCTGAATGTAACACAAAACTGAACCAGAAACCTCCTTACCAACAGCTGAAGAAAATTAACTGTGAATATCAAAGTCAGTACAGACTGAATCAACTGTTAGAGGAGTAGAATGTGCAGAAGTCACCCTCTTAGTTAAAACAATGTTGTCTACTTTGTGTGCAGAAATTTTTTTAATTATTTGATAATATGAGGCTCTTGCTGGCTTCAGTGGCTAGTGGGGCTGTAAAGTATGGTTTCCTTTTAACCAGGTTTTAAGTAGACGAAGTATGATGTTGAGCCCATTGCAATGATAAAAAGTATCAATGGCTTGATCAAGGGTCTCTAAGGGCTTGTTTTCTGTGCCCACTTTAGCTGCCTCTGTAACAGAGGGACTAGTAGATGCATTGATTTCAAATGCTTTGTGCCCGTCTTGTATTTACTTCTATACGTACTTACTCATGTTTGTGATGGGGACACAGACATGACCAAAAACAGTAGATTTATTCCCTGATCAAAGAGAGATAATTTGTGTATTTCCTAAGAGATTCCAGCTAACCTGGGAAGATTTTATGGAAGACAGCTTCCAAAGGAAATCTCAAAAGGTTGAAGTGACTTCTAGAATAAAAACCACCCTCTTTTAGATTGTTAACCATTGTCATAGGGCAACATTTGTAGTAACTGTTAAATGGGAGACTATTTTGTCCTGTAAGCCTTCATCTTAAGTGAGAATAACAGC